AAAATAAAATATAAATATCACTTGGGAATTACATTGATACAATAATGTTGGCAATTTTCCTCCTTATATTAGCAGCTATACTAGTATAGTTTATGATTCTGCAGAATACAGCAGCAGCGTTGCTCCAGGTTTAGAAAAAAAAATCCCTGAATCCCAGCAGTTCATCATTTTTATTTGATCAGTTTAAGTATATCACATAAAACAAATACAATACATAAAAACAAAGAATAAATGTAAGTGAGACTTTTTTTAATCCCACCTATGAAGGCAAAGGTCTCAGTTTAAGGTCTCCTCCAAAACAAAAGTGTTTCACTGATGCTCAAAACAATGAAGATCTCATGAGTAATGGCTCCTGGCACACTGAGTCTCCTTAAGCTGACGGCCGCTTGTGCAGTACATTCCCTAGTCGAGAGACCTAAGTTCAAAACTTCAGTCTGCTTCACCGCCCATGCGCTCGCTGAGGATAAAGTACATATAATGAATCCTAAATTTGTTCCCAGCATGCACCAGCCACATCTGTCCAGACGCTGCGTGGAGAAAAACAAGCATTTGTCATCGGCTGGGCCAGTCGGGGCTTAAATTGGAGTTTGCTGTAAGGGGGCCCCCCTGAACGGGTGAAAGCAACTTAAGCGTCACTAAATCCCTTTTCTAACAGATGTATGGCAGATGAGTCTGTCACAGTGGCGGAGGGAAGGAGGGAGGGGCAATCGCTCCTTGGCTGGCGATAGAGGAGAGAGGGTTGGATAAAGGGATAGATGGAAAGATAAGGGCATTCATTTCTTCTTCTGTATGTATCGACAGCATTCTGCACAATGAAGATCTGACCTGTGGTGAAATTAAGCGTATGATTGAAAAGAGATAGAGAGACAGTTTTGAAAATGTCCCTTTATGCCTTTTCCCATTTTATCATGCACCATACTTGGAGTCAGGAAAATGTTTGAGCCACACTTCCTTCAGGAAACATGAATCTCTCTCGCTAACTGACGGACCTTTTACATTATTAGGGACCAAACTCGCTTCTAAAAGTTTCTTTTCATTTGGTAACCTAACTCAAAATAAGGCTTAGTAAAGCAGCACTGGAGCCGTTCGGCCCAGAGGAGACAAATGATCCAAAGATATCTGAGGGACTCTGCAGGAAAAATAAGAAAAGGTCACTCTGACTCGACAAAGCAGCAGAGTCACAAACAGGGAGAGCAGGAACAAACTCAGAGGCTGGAGGTTGTTACCGGGGAAAGGGCTGTTCATTTGTACCTGGCTGCCATGGTAACCCTTGACAAATAGATGTATAGGACGCTTTTCGACTGCATTTCATTGGCCGTCCTCTGACCTCGGCTGTAGTCCTCGGCTGCTGTGCTTTAATAAGCTCTGAAACACATTGGTAAACAGCCACAGAGCATTTGAAACACAGCAACATTTTAGATTTATAATGTCGGATTCAACATCGACCCAAACCAGCACAAAACACTACAGGATATCATGGCACACAAATTAAACATCTTTGGAAAGAGTTTTAAAACTGATACGTTAAATATAATTACTCAAGGTCTTGATTTCATAAAGCAAAGCAGGTACAATAGCAGCTGATCATCTTTATTTACATGGTTTTTCACCGAGCCTCCTAAAGCAGCAGGTGACGGGTGAACCGCACTGTTCAAAATCCATGTGATTAAAGACGCAGTGACTCTGAGGCAACTCTTCTGCTGAAAGTCCTTTAGTTCCTGAGTGTGTCTCACCACAGTCCAACGCGCTGTGCTACAGTGGGCTCCAGCCATGATGCCGTCATGTGTGTGCTCATTTGCTTCCGCTTTAATTCGATCAACGCAGAAATAAATACATGAAAATCCGATTCAATTTTAAAACATTAAAAGCCAAGTTGGGTCAGATGTAAGCTGCTCTAGAAGCAACAAGAAGAAAAGAGTCTAACACATGTTCACAGAAACATTAAGAAAAGAGACAAAACACTGGATAAATTGAAAGTCAGTATTAGACTTTTACTTTTTTCTTCTTCTAAGGGCATAAAACGCAAAGGTAAAAATAAAAAGTCTATTTACATGATTCTCCGTGATACTCGGCCTAGTTTCCCAAAATCTTTTTACACTTAAATTCCATCCACAATTTTTTTATATTGGTTCGCATGTGTGGGACCATCCAAAATAATTACTGATAATCATCCATTCGATAATTGCGCTCTGCGACTTTCTGGTGGAACCTGGGCTTTGAAATAAGTCTTCTGAACCTAGAGCTTTGTTGTTCTGATTTAGATTTTGTTGCCTAATTGTTGCTCATTAAATTGTTCCAGAGGAAAAGCATTTTCTTTATTTTAAACAGACACAGGCACCAGGTTGATTTTTTGATCTTACCTCTCTTGTTCCCCTAAATTTCAGCCTTATTCTCGTAATGTAATGACTAATCTCCGATTTTTCTTCTTCCTTTACGTGGCCCTGAGACTTGTCATAATAAGTCTGTCTAAGTGCTGCTGGAGCTGTTCGTGTTGCCGTGTTTTGCCGGACACGTCAGCAGCCTGGACGCTCGACTAAATAGCAGCTTGAATCCTGGTTTCCTCTCTGACTGAGGCTCCGAACTCGCTGTGCTGATTTGTATGTGACGTACTGGAGCATTGGTTTCTCAGCTGTGAATATTAGTTTCCTCGCTGAGTGACCCAGACTGAAAATTCAGTCACAGAACGTATCCGGTCCTAAATTTGTCTGATCCCACCATCCACAGCCACCCAGTCACCCAGTGTAAGTGGGCCAGAGACGGGTTTCTAATAGTCTCTCTGCCCTAAATGATGTTTTTTTTTATTCTTCATGGATGAAGTGCTTCTTCATTAGCAATGAAAATCTTCCATGTACATATTTTTTTTCCACCTTCTTTTTCTTTTCATACAGACTTCATCTGCCAATGCTTTTGGGAAACCAGGCATGCAGCAGTAGGCTTCTGAATCTTCAAGTAAAGACGTACAAAGAGACACACTCGCTGCAATAGAAGCAAAAAAAAGAAGAAGCAAAGTTTCTTCTTTAGAAAGACGACATGAAATTAAATTATTAATGCACTTGCAGCATTAATCTCAAGAGATGTTTCTTCCACACAAGAGTGGAATTGAGTCCAGTTTTCAAATTCAAATGCATTTTGCTCTCAAGTTTTTTCACAGCATGAGCTCGATGTATTTCAAGCCTCCATGGTAAGAATATGACGCGTTTCGATGTAGGCAAAGTTTCTCAGAATGCTTACGTGTGCTCTCATACTCGAAGCAATGATTGACATATACATCGGCATTCAACACAAAGAGGCAAAGAGGAGTCCTTGGTTTATTTTATTGAGGAGAGCGTCATGCAAACTGCAGCAGGATAAAGCAAAAGGAAAAAGCAAAGCACCCGCTCTCTCATCTTAAAATGAGTTTCTTTGTGATCGAGCAGTTTTTTTTTAGGCCACGAATAACAAGGATTCTGTCGCAGCCTTGCGTCCATTCAAAGTGCTTGAAATGGATAGTTGAGTATAGTTGTTGTTCTTCAAGAGCAGATATTTGTTTTGTTTTTTTGTCTAGGGCAAAGACCTTCAAGCAACTCCTTTCCTTTTAGTCCACCCACTCTCCAATTAGGCTCGAACTCCCCCCCCCCGCACAAACTTCTCTGTCTCCGAAAAGAAAAAAGATTACGTTGAGGTGACAACTCCTTTCACCACTGGTTCTCTGTTGAGATACGTGGCCCAGTAGACGAGGTTGAAGGTTCCAAACAGGACGGGGAACACTATCCGCGACATCTTGTCGATCTTGCTGACGCTGTTGTAGGTCTTCTTGGGGTCCACCATCCTGGTCTCGGCGGCTCGGAGCTGCACCGACGTCGTGTTGGAGATGGTGGAGATGGACACGTCCTTGGTGAGGTTGGGGGTGTAGTTCACGCCGGCCAAGCAAACGTTGTTGGGCTTTTTGGACAGCACCATGGGATCTCGTTTCTGCAGCGAGACACATTCCATGGAGCAGAGGGTTAGTGATGAATTAGACCTGTTGCCATGTTGTTTGTCTCTGCTCATTACCAGAGTTTCTGACCTGAGATAATCAATTTGTTTCATTCTGTCTGGAATGATTAGCGACTCTACTGAGCTCAGACATTTCTGGCAAAACGTTCTGGTGAAATTTGGGCTGCTGAGTGTAATTGAATTTCACTGAGGGAGCAGCAGGACTCCCGCTGGTGGTCTGGCAGTCGGATTTTTATTCATGATGATTTCAATATGCAGGTATAAGTTTAGTGCAGCTGCTGACGGATGCTCGTCAAATTTCCTGTGGATCTCCAGTTAAATTTAAACAAGGAGCTTGTATGACAATCACAGCTGTGACGTGGTATAAATATCCTGGTAGCTGGAAAATCAATCTGCTCATAGTTTTCAGTGTGAATAACTTATTTGTCATTTGTTTGAATTCTGTGGAGAAGATTAATGTGAAATATCAAACACACCACTTACAAAATGACGATAAAGTCATACTCAGTTTGAAAGGTAGAATACAGTATCCGTAGGAAAGTGGTTGACGGTGATGAAACCAGTGACATGGTCCGCTAAAGTAGACTCAGCACTCACTGCCTAGCTGACATGTGTGGAAATAAAATATTCTCTTAGAAATGTGTAACTTCTTGCCCACACGCTGTACCTTAGGGTGATGTGCTTCCAGAGCCTTCTTGCCGTCCCAGGCCCAGCTCCTCTTAGTGAAGTAGTTCACTGTGGCGAACTCGATGAGGGCAGAGAAGACGAACGCGTAGCAGACGGCAATGAACCAGTCCATGGCTGTAGCGTAGGCCACTTTGGGGAGTGAGTTCCTGGCGCTGATGCTGAGGGTGGTCATGGTCAGCACAGTGGTCACCCCTGGGTGCAAACAAAAGGTCGTGGTTGAAATTGAGTTTATACAAGCCATCAGGAAACTGTCCCTCCTCACTTTGCAAAAGAGAAAACTTTAATAACTCTTAATAACTGCCATCTATTGCAGTGCTGCTGCTCACTTATTATTCTCCCTGGTGTGAATGTGCATGGCAGCAATATTACACTGATAAATAAAACGTTTTTTAACAGAATAAGTAAATACACATCCTCACTCACCAAAGACAGTCCTCGCAGGAACCGATTCTCGGTTTAGCCAAAACGACACTTGGGACAGAATTACTGTCATGAAACAGGGCATATACGTCTGGATGACAAAATAGCCAATCTTCCTCTTAAGGTAAAAGTGGGCCATCATCACTGTGTACTGTCCTGAGGGGAGACAAGGACATAACAGAGATATAAAGTTACACAGGGACAATAAACAATGCAAGACGTTAGATGTCTCCTAATGATGGAGATATGTGCTTTGAGCTAAACCACAGTCAAGAAAATATTGTTTGTATGCAGAGTGAATCTTAAAGTGTGATTTGATCCTGTTGAAACTCAGAAAGATAATTGTTTGAACTCACAGGACAACATAAACCAATCACCAAATAAAGCAGGCACAGAAGTAGCCATAAAGTCTGATCAAGCTTCTACCCCAGTTAATGTAGAACCATCAACCCCCTCCTGTAATTTTCAGTAATGAAGTAATCAGAGGTGTCGGAAGCAGTGGAGGTGGGACATTCAAAAAGTGGAGCTGGGATAAAGAGAACATTTCATATTCAAATCCATTATTAAACTGAAAAAACGATTGCAAAGTGGTATCAATTATTGCAGAACTTGACAATAGATTATTATTGTTATGCTGTTAATGTCTGCGATTCAACAATGGAGCGATGGCAGGAGGAGTTAAACCCAGAGACAGAGAGAGAGAGAGAGAGAGATGGAGAGAAAGACAGGGGACACAATATTCAGTTAAACAAGTGAAGATTGCATTTGAGGCTTTAAAAAATCCTCTCGCCAGCAGCAGTTTGTGACCGTGAGCGGTGGTAAACTATGAAAAATCCAATGACTGTGCTCCACACACCAGAGCACATGTACACAAGCTCTCTCTTCCTCTCTATCTCTCCCTCACACACACACACACACACACACACACACACACACAGAGTAATACACAAGGCTTTCTCTGGGCAAAATCGGATTTTTGAACCTCCCTAATCCCTGGTTACAATCTGCATCCTGCCATCAGTGAGGGAAAGAGAGGGAGTAAAGGGGATGGGATGAGGGAGGAGGAGGGGGGTGAGCCTTCCTGTCCTGGGATCCTAAGCCCCGCCTACTCCGCCCTGCCAATCCAGGCATGGAGACACGCACACACACACACACACACACACTGAAACACTCATGAACACTGATTCCTAACTGCTGACACCTCAACACGCACTGGAAGCCACGGAGAGAGGGACACTGCTGCTGATCACCGGTGGGATGGAGGGGGGGGTTGACCGTGTGGACATTTCCTTTTCATGTTGTTTTCCTGTCACTTGGCAGCTGTTAGTGGAGTTATGATCAAAGATTCTTGTTGGGATTGGCTGGTGTGCGAAGGGAAGAAGAAAATGCTCTGTGGGCATCGACTGGCGGCCGCTTGAGAGTGAGGGAAACTTGATTTGCAGGCACTCCCTGCCGAGGACGGACAATATACCCAAGCACCAGCAGCCACTGCCATGCCTGGATCAGGAGATCCCAGACACCATTAGCTCTTACTGCGACCCCATCACCTGGGCCCTCTGACGCCCTCATGACTCCAGGCCGCCTGGCTCTCAGCCACCCCATCGACATCCCGGACACTTCCAGGCGCTGCCAACCTGGGACACCCCAGGGTCAACTTTGCCTTTGATGAATGGATCCCGACAGGACTGGGGGCGAAGGAATGAGGAGGACCATGTTGCCCTGGTGGATCTTACTGCTTTTCTCCCAAGGATTTGTATTTCACAACGTCCAAGGGGAACTTCCGTTTATGTCGGGGAATAATGCTGCCATGCTGGTCAACTGGTGAGTAGGGAGTAACGGACAGTTTTTGCCTTTTAATGTCAACGCTTATTGGCCTGAACTATGACGTCTATATGAATGATTGTCCTCCGGAAAATGAGCTACGGTGTCTTCGATGAGTTGCAAAATAATAACTCACCAAGTCCGACAAGCCCCCTCGAACAGACTGTACTACGCCTCGCCTACTTTAAGAGTCAAACAGTTATTTTAGGAAACACACTGTCTGAGCCAGAGCAAGTCATGTCTTTAAAAACTTGTGGACTAATCTCCTCCTTCACAGCCTCAAATGGGAGTGAGGTCAAAGATTACATGTGCTAACATCGCAGCCATCCAACACTTTGTGCGATCTGCCTCCATGCATGAGGTTTTATGATATATGTCCATTATCATCCAGCATCAAAACAGATTGAATCCATGGAAGAGGCAAAGATGGACTACGTTGTTGTTGTTGAGGCCCTGTTTCCTGAGCCAGTTGCTAGCAGTACAACAAAGGCCTGACGATCTTTAATTGGCTGCTGTTTTGAATTTCAGATTTACAAGCTGCTTCATTACTTTGTCTAGACCCAATAAAACAGCAGGCGACCGTCTGACTTCTTTTAATCAAGCAGGGGAACGACAGATAACTGCAAGTGACAGCTCACTTCTGTCTCGCTTTTTATCAGAGCCAAGACAAACCTCCCGGCTTCACACCGACTCCTCCTACTTTGGTTTTCATTTATTGTCCTTAATATAAACATCTTTATTATCCGTGGGAGGCCCTGCGATGATTGACACCCCTGGATAATATAGCTTTTACCTCTTGGATCATCTTGAAACTTAATATAACTTACATTTGAAAAATACAGGGTCTTCAGGAACATGCAACCAACACAACTGTCAGGAGTTGTGGGTAAAGTTGTAAAACATGGCTTCAGGTTGTGATGATGTTGGCATGAAAAGTCAGAGGTGGAATATGTCTACATTTGTGTGACTACACCTCCTGTAGCTCTTGTCTGCATCCAAGCGGCAAATATCCCATTTCAAGCATTTAAATATAAACAACAAACCGCATTGTGTTGTTCTGGCATAAAATATTTTGTGTGTGACTGTGATAAGCAAGAGAGTCAAAGACGTTCAGGAAGTAAATTAACCTACTGGACCCAATGTGACCCCCCTGAGCTGAAACTCATCAGAAATCTCCACCCCTGATTTGGATGTTTTCCAGACACAAGCTTTGAGCTGCATGAGTGATGGTTCGCTGCCTTTAGTGCAACAGTTTAATGGAATTCTCAGATAATATTCAGCAGTTTCTGGAATAGTCCGAACACCAGGTGGAAGTAAACGGATAGAATAGAATAAATACCAAATTGCCCTCGGATAATTTAAACAATGTATATGATGGATTTCTGTACAGAGACAAGAAATGATACTCAAGAGAGGATAACGTGTTATTTATGCCCGGTCTGGGCTCACATGAGAAGGAAGTAGTAGTTGGTTGGTGACGTTTAAACAAGATGGTAGAATGATAACATTAATTTTGTAGAACTTGGCTTTTTAGCTTTTGACTTTGAGGCATCGCCATCATCCATCCATTATCTTTAGGCCTCCATCTAATTCTTCAAGGGTCGTGGGGGGAGCCGGAGCCAATCCCAGCTGACATTGGGCGAGAGGTGGGACATACCCGGGACAGGTTGCCAGCAAATCACACAGCCAACATACAGAGACAAATAACATATGTGGTCAATTTACAGTCTCTGATTAACCTAACCCCAGTCTGCATGTCTTTGGACTGTGGGAAACCAGGATTCGAACCAACAACCTCCTTGCTGTGAGGCAACGGTGCTGCTCTTAATATTTGCAATGGAACTTGACAAAAAGGACAAATAGAAAGTGCTTAAGCCAAAATGGAAAATAGTCAATTTTAAAGAGTAGATAGCGATAATATGCATCTGCCATAAAGACAGATATGCATGCAAACAAATGGAGATGAAGAAAATATGTTCAACACATTTGTGCGAACGTAGGGATACACGCAATGTGTTACATGACTTTGTTTAAAATAAAAAAGGGCAGCTTTTATCACAGTATAGTTTAAACACATTTAAATAAAAAATATATATCATTTATTCCAGCAAAGGCAGCATTGTGTTTAACATTATAGCACTTAGGTTAAAATATTAATGTGTCTTTCTGTCAGTCTTTTATCACCTGACTGCAAACTAGTCAACAAACCTGCCGTCACCGAACGTCAACCAAACGAACCCAGTCACCCTCGGCTTCAACCCCCGTGTCAGCCAGCCGAGGTTTTTCTGTTGTGGTGCATGAATAAAACAAATAAATAAATAAAAAACGGGGGGGGGGGGAATCCACACTTTTAATAATGATTCTGCTCGAAACTGGAGCGAAGTGTAATACAGTTCCGTTTTACATAAGAGTATTAAGCAGATGCCTTTCAACGCCCCCACCCCCAACCCCCACGTGTCAAAGCAGCGCTGTCCAATTCCAACACACACATTTCTTCTCTCATCTTTGTAAAGACCTCTGTTGCATTTTAAGTTTTAATTGTAAACTGTTATTTATTTCCTTTTTGTTTAATAAGAACCCTGTCACATCATGTAAAATGAACCTGTCTTTATTTGACGCTCGTCTTTAAAACTAACTCGCACCCTGAATCCACCACTTTGTCTGGTTTTTAACCGCCATCGTGACGACACTCGTCCTCATGAAGATAAATGTACACGAGCATACATCCACAAACACCGAGACACACACAGGGACAGCCGACCAACCAATCCCTCGCTGATCTGTGATGTCATCTTCTTATGCAAAAGCTGATGGGTGGTTGGATGGAGGATTAACCCGAGGTCTCAGGTCTCTCGCCGGCTCAGTGTGTGTGTGTTGGTGTGTGTGTGAGCGCGTGCACGTGGGCTCATGCAGGGATAAGTGTTGTTTGACAGAGCTGTCCGGGCCTGTAGACAGCTGGTTGTGTGAGGGATAGGCTACTCTCCTCCACTCGGCTCCACTCATTGACTCTGATCTCCTGATAATGTTTCCCACATTTACTCTGGGCCTCGCACGCCCATCTCTCCACACAGAGTTGATCTTTTCTAATCTAGAATTAGTTACATCACGTTATTTGGTATTAAACTTATCATGCACTGCGTAAAGTATGAAATGTCTCATATATAAGAAAAGTGATGAATAGTTTGGTGAAATAATTGTTTTTTTGGTTAATTAAAAAGTGATAGCAACAAATAGGCCCCCTTTGTACTGCAGCTGAGTCCAGCTTTTCTAAATGAACAGGAGTCTGTTGTGACTCTATCTTTAACCTGCAAAACCAGTACTGAAACCAGAGATCTGAAAACGTTGTCAGGGAGATGACTGTGGGACGATAACACTTAATTTGATACAGTGAAAATCAGCAAAGTATGAGAAAATATGATCCTTATACTTGAGTAATTATTCTTGATATTTGTGTGAATTAACTGGAATCATGTTCAAAAAACTTTCTGATGACAACCAAACCCATAAAAAGTTCAAAACTAACAACACTGCTTGTAGTCTGTCAGTACTTTTCTGCTTCACAGCGTATTAGTTTCTGGTAAAGATGTACAGCAGCTTCATCAGTTACTTAGACATGAGTACAAATAGCAGAGTGTATTTCTCTGCTCCAGTTTATTTCATACTGTAGCTTTCTGTTTGAATTCTGTCACTGGCACTTGTCAGCTATTTATTTCTTTATTTCTCCAGCATCACATTTTGGAAATGATCAAAAGCTCCGTCCTTCGGGACTAAGATTTACTATTGTGCTATTGTTTTACTTAAATCAAATCAAATATACTTTATTGTCCCTGTGGGAATTTGTTTTTAGGCCAAAGTGCTACAGCAGCTGCAGATGTCCCTGCTCTTATTGCAGCACTACTATAACTACTACTTCATTACTGTTAGTACTATTTCAATACCATGACACAGTATTAGAGCCACTTACAATAGAAAGCTGCGTGTCATTTGTGAGGGACCATATCACGGATACTCATCAGGTCCACATTATCAGAAGTATCAGGAGAAAGAAGTTCACAGACTTGGAGGAAATGTTTGGTAGCAGTTGAAGTTGTCGATCTGCGTGATATTCAACAGGATTTTGACGTACGCTTGTTTCTCTTAATATTTCAACTTAATTCTTGTAGTAAGACGTTTTTTTCTGGAATTTAGCGCTACTACCTATAATTTACAGTACCATTATAACTATAGGCTTGTCTTTATTTGCTTGTATCAGTTATAGACACTTGCACACACCTCTGCTTGTGTGTATGTCCTCTGTGCCGGCAGTCTGCCCAATGAGATGGTACTGGTTGAGCCTGGAGCCGTCCTCTGCCACCACCACAGACTTTGCAGCTCCTGTAGTCCAAGTGTAGACCACCTCTGACACTGGATAGGCATCTGAGAGAGGCAGAGAGGAGGATCAGTTGAAATTCATTTGTGCATTTAGTCTTTAGCCTGTTCATTTCTAATTCAAAATGCATATGAAGCATTCCAACAACAATTTTCTTTCACTCAGAGCAGATTAGAAACACATCAGAGGCCATTTCAACCAGTCTTCCATCATTTTCTGTGCAGCTGTCAATGTGCTGCTGTGTGTTTATGAGGTTGTGTTGATGCACTAGTTTATCTAGTAGTTTTTGATTACACCACAGGCTTCATGCCAAAAACAGATTTTTGCTTGCATGTCTGTATACGTGTGTGTGGGCGGATATTTGAGTGTATTTTTGTTTAAACCACACTTGTGGGTCAGAGGTGATCTCCACTGTCAGCAGCAACCAGACTGAGTCAGATTAACCGTAATGTGTTGCATCACACTTGTGATGAAAATCTGTGCACACACTCTGCGCCCTGATTTTTCATTATTCATGTTGAATCCTGCACAAACACCGGACATCGATCTCTCATCCCAGTAAATGTTTTAAATCTTGACTTGTCTGTCACATGCAAGTGTTTCTCACTGATCCAGGAACAGAAAGCCCTGATGCCTGTGGCATTGGTGAACCAGTGTGTCAGTCTCTTTATCTGCCTTTTAATGGTTAAGGTGACACAGACGTTTTAAAAATCGACTCAGTTTTATAATTTGAATTCTGTTGAGGACTTTTTAACTTCATTAAAAGTAGTGCTATATAAATAAAGTGTAGTCTTTACTATAAATAATAGTAAAGACTATGTTCATATATATGTTATTTTGAAAGCGTGTTTGCATGCATGTTCCAGGACTGATCTCACTTTATTGACAGGTTTAACTATAAATGCGGATGGTTGTGCAATCAGTATGTATTTGATGATGATATGTGTCTTAAGACAAAAAGTATCTCGGTATAAAACACAGGAGTTCAAAATATTTAAATATTTTGCTGACTGATCACAGAACAAACTCTTGCATTGTTTCTGGTCAGCAGATATCAGCCTGACGTGAGTGTTTCCACTCTGGGCGCTCACTTGGCAGCTGATGCTGCTGTACGATATACGTTGTGTTTAAATTCGGCCTCTGTCAGGCCAAAGGCCAGGACCTTAATTGGAGGGTAGTTTGGGATAAGGGATTATTGGTGAATTTCATTATGCACAGGAGCTTTGACTTTGGCAGGCGAGAGGCTGCACCTGTGCCAACTTTTCCACAGTTCCCACTAATGCTCTGCAGCTCCCGCCTCCTGTATGAGGCTGCAAGTCGGCCAATATCAGCTCACTCTCACAGGGAGATTTTCTTTAGGTGTGGGAGAGATGTCATTGTTGTGAGAGATGTAATTTATTGGGGATCAATAAAGGGAAAACTATAAGCAGAAATACCTTAAACAAAATATAGGTGCCAATTTCAGTGTCTTCCCAAAAGCCATATGACATTTATCAGCTTTTCCTGATCTCCCGCTGATGTTAGGCAACTGCGTCTATTTAATTAAACACAATTTGATTGGCTGGTGCCTCTGTTGCTGCATGACCTCTCCCAATCAAATCACGCCAAAGAGGAGGCGGAGGCAGCTGACTAACCCAGCGTGTGTTGATCTGGTTATGGATATTATTTCCCATGTACTTCTCTTTTGCATTTAGCACAAACTCCAGCTAAGCACGAAGCCATAACTGGTTTCAGTGCAACAGCGACAGAACGTAAACATGAGGTGAGGATAACGTGAGGTGGCCTTTTACTGTTGCTTTGTCTGACACATCAACAGTTAGTCGCTTCACCTTGTGGTTCAAGTACCAGAATATAAACTTAAATTACAGTAAATTGCTAAATCACTGCTGAGGCTGAATGGAATTAGCTTTAGCTCAGCCGCTTTTAAATGTTCCTACATATTTAAATCAATTAAAATATGAGTTAATTTTATAATTATTTTAGAATGAAATAAAATTGGAAAAACAGAAACCTAGAAAAACAAGAGATGTATAGATTTGTGCACTAAAGTCTGTAAATAAATGTTTAATAACAGTTCAAATAGAACACGATACTGGATTTATGGTTATAGGTTGAAAACTTTCAACCTTTTTTTCTTAATGAAAGGAAAAGTGAGAGATTTGGTGGCTCTTCTTGAACAGCAGATGGATTTCACATCCACAGTGAAGGTCTAGCACTGCAGTAGTGGCTCTGTGTGTAAACCTGCAGCATAGCGTGAGGCTCCCTGAGGATAAAGGCCAAATCAGGAGGTGGTCAGGTCAGACCACAAGGTCAGCGAGTGTCAGCGCTTCAGGAAAAAACTCAAACAAATGAAAGCAGAGATCTCCCACACTCTGGGATTCATGACCTTGTTCAAAAACAGTGTTGCCATTAACACATTATTCCCATTATACACTTACACCTCTCACCTGCATGGCATCGCACCGAGGCGATTAGATCAGCGTTTGCCATGGGAAGGCCCAGCAGCTCCTTACAACATAATTGGATTGTAGTCAAATGTGCTTCTCTTGCATAGTAAATGTGGTTGGACTGCGTCTCACTGAAATCTGCAGATAAGAGCCTCATCCTTTTAGCCCAAGAGGCTCCCAAGGTGTGGCCTTTGGCCAGATCAGTCTTTAAATACCCCCATGGACACTCAAGTTTCTAAACAGGTCCTCGCTGGTAGGACACACACTCAAGCCATCCTGTTAAGAAGGCATTGGGGAAAACCGTAATCTTCTCTTCTCTCTCTTGTGCTTGCTATGCTTTTAGTGGTTGTTCCGAGGGAAGACCTTAGAGTCAACCATAATATAACATCGTCATCCTACCCGTGTAATCTCTTGAATTCTTTATTTAAGACCGGATGTGCTTTAACCTCTGTTATTTATTGCAATAACTTGGTTAATTTGGTCAGAAACAAGTGGTGGCCTCGGTGGTTTGTTGTTCAGGAGAACTTGCACAGTCTTGCCTTAAAAGTTGCAATCGTGAATCATTTGCAAACACAGCGATCCACATGCATTAATTAAACATTATTGCTGTTTGTGTTCTCTAAATCTAGATTTGACTGCGTTGCACAGTGCAGGATAATAGCTGGGATTAGTATATTTTAAAGGACAAAGTACATTTAAAAATAGATTTTACTTACAGCTGCCAAACTTGAGAGGGCAGGCGTGTGCGTCCATGGGGAAATCCTCCAGCTGCATGGGGCATTCTGCTGATATGGTCAGTCTAAGACAAAACAACACAACACATCCATTAACAATCTAATCCAGTGTCTCATTTTGAATTGTCTTTGTCTCTCTGTTCAAACTTTAAACATTCCCTTAGCACGTTAGACCTCTGATTCAGGGCTCTGCACAATTACAGGAACAGCTATAATTGCAGTCTCGCTAAAATTACAGGGGAGCAAACGCAATTAGTAGGAGGGTTGTGACTTGAGTGTTTTTACAATAATAATTATTAAACAACCCTGTAGAAAGAAGAACACAAAGCAGAAGACAGAGGTGGGATCGGAGGCAGATTTAAAATCCAGATTATGGAAATGTAATCATTCATAAATTCTAGATGAACTATAATACTTTATTAAGAATGATGTTTGGGTTGCCAGGTTGTGGAAAATCCTGCTCCAGCTTTGCTTGATAATCCAGGAGACTTCTCCAATAGATTTATTTATTTATATTTATTTAAATCGACTAATTTCTAAGAAGCTCTTGTTTTTAATTGAAGAATAAGTCAATTATTAATTGATTGCTAATGAGGCGATTAGTCAAAGATTATTAGTGCATTATAAATGGTGCCATTCAGTGATACCCGCCCCCCAAAATAGTAAAATGGTTCATGTCCGTTCCACTTAGATTCCAGTGGCAACACTACCACCTGGTGGCCACACAGTGACTGCGTCTCTCCATAAAACAGGTGGAGAGAGTTTTTTTCTCAATGAACCTTACAAGTCCTGTTTAAATCAGTTTTCTCCTTCAATAATCTTTTTCATTTCATTTTGTGTCACTTAATCGTTTTAGCTGCCATCACGCCACCTCTCGGTTTAGAATCATCATATTCAACAACCCAGGCGTAAAATACACAGATCATCCTCAACCTATTCTGAATCAAATCCCACCGTGATGATAAATAATAAGACAGATGTGAATTCACTGAACTTAATGGGAAATTGAATGGTTTGGAAACAAGTGCATCAAAACATGGATTTGTTTACATTTCAGATTTCTTGTGCATTGGCTTTTTTTCTGCTTCAACGTCCCACATTAGTTACAGGAGTTTAAGGTAAATTATAATCTTCATGGCAACTGTGTCGTCAAGATGCGGCAAAATCCTCTCGGGACAAGTTTTTCCTTTTTATGCTCCAAAACCTCCTGCACGTACAGTATCAGTATCTGCTGCAGGAGGTTTCCCCCAATTACATCACGCAGGGGAGCCAAGCAGAACAAAGTGGCAGCCTATAGACACCACTGTTTTTTTTTGTGGGGGGGGCTCAGCTTGCTTTCCACATCAGTGCAGGATTATTCATTTGTGTCATTGTGTGGAAAACAGCGGAAGGATTGTGCACGGAGGGAAAGGAAGAAAGGTCTTTGGGATAAATGTCTGAGAATGTAGCCGGTGGAGCATCTTCTGATTATTCATGTGGCCTTGCCCAAACAGGACCGTCACTGTTGAAGTAATATTGGGGGAAAGCAGCAGATTGGAATAATTCCCATGATTCCATACAGCCAGTATTGGGTTGGAACTCGTAACACCACAAGGGTGACTCCAGCATTTGGGCCGTCACACCAATGGGAAATCTAAAAGTTTCCCATTTGCCTGACCTTGCAGAAAAGTGGAGGACTTGGACGACACGATGGATGAACTCACTAACAACGATAGGACTCAGTAGAGAGCAGTACCTCTTTTTATTGGATTCTTCTTCGGGTCATGCCCCACTCCTCCACAAAAAATATCATGCAAGTAGGATCAGTAGTTTTTGCATAATCCTGCTCACTAACATAGAAACACAGATGCAAACATCACCTCCTCTATAAGTTGTAATAAATAAAATCAATGGTTTTTTTTAGACCTGCAGCTCCGGCTTTAACTCATAGTTTATGTTCCAGTGTCTAAAGCTCACCGGTGTGGAGCCTCGACCAGGAACATGAATGTGAATGTCAACCCAACTGTGCCTAATGATAATGGCGTTGTAATGCGCTCACTCCGCGGTATCATGGACGTTCACAGCAGCTGATAAAACCCGTATATGTTGCAGCCTATCCGGAATGTGGCTGTAATGGCCCCGGCATCAACCCTGTGTGCATTTAGAATGCATGGTGTCATGATAAATTATCCATGGAGACAAATGTGTAGAAATTTGCTCCGTAAAAGACCGAGTGCAGAGGAAAGGCTTTCAAACGTGCCGGCAACACAATCACACTCAGTCAGGAAAGAGAAGCAGCGTTCACTGACAGCCGTGCACGACGTGAGGGAGTGTGTGTGTGTGATAGTGAGATATGTGATATTTGAAATGAACACTGAGATGGTTGTTCCATGCGTTTTCAGAATGTGCTGATGCATGTTGAACACGCTGAGAGTGCAAACCTCTATAAAGATGCCAAAAGATGAAGTATTTTGTTATTTGTTAAAACTTATACTAAAGTATTACTTAACAAGATGCTCCACAGTCCTCATTGTCTGATACTCCCCCTTTGAAATGAGCTGTAGCCTTAAATCACAAATTTATTCTTGTAATATGACGTCGCTATTCTGATAATATTGTGATTTCAGGTGGAATTTATTGTAGTCAGAGAATAGATGAATGAATACAAAACAAGGAATGACTGACATGCAGCGCAAATGGGCCTGAAGAGAAACCAGTGCTGTAACCTGCAAGTACCCAGATGGCCTGTGTGTGTATCACTGTGTGTGTGTATCACTGTGTGTGTGTATCAGTGTGTGTGTTTATGCTGCCTGTGGTTAAGCTCCGCTGGTAATGACAGACACGGGACTGTAACAATCAGACGATTAAAGGCAACCTACTGCTGCTTCATTTCTAATGTGGCAGCCATTTTTAACTTGCGGACGCACAAGCTCTCTCTCTCTCTCTCTCTCTCTCTCTCTCTCTCTCTCACTCACACACACACACAATCATACAATCGCGTCTTCCCTTTCAGATACAAACACATGCAAAGATTTCCATAAAACTCCACATATGTAAATGAATGCACACACGTCCATGCAATCCCTCCCTCGTTAAGCCTCGAGGTCAGAGTTCAGCGTCACTACAACTGATTAACATGCTTGACACCCGCAGTGTGTGCGTGTGTTTTGTGCGTGCGACAAAGAGGTGACTATAAATACGCACTTCTTTGGATATGTATATATGTCAGGGTGGATAATCTGCCCCTCACCATGCATTATTCTCCCTGTGGGTGGGCCTGCTATCAGATGGAGTGCTCTCATCCGTGATACAGTCACTCTTAAGTCCTGCGGCTACAGTAACTCCTGAGGATAAGCACAGAATTATTCTAATTCTTTGCTCCAAAGGTCACACCGAGCCCTGTCGCTTGCACTCGCAATAATAAACCCAAAAAATACATCTAATCAGTATTCAAATTGATATTTTTCTGTCTTTACGGGCTAATTTCTTGATTTTCTTTCATATGAACAAGCATTTTTCTTTAAATTCCAGTGGTTTGGTTTATATTATTGCCACCTGTAGTTCTTTCTTCACCTATTTCCTTTTTAATTTACTGCCAAAAAACTACAGTTCACAATGAGGCTTGCTTTTCTGCAGTATTTCTTGAAAACATGCTTTTACATGTGTGTCAGCATGTGTTGGAACAAAGTCATGACATATTAGAAGAAGACATAGAAGAGAAGAAGAATTTGAAAAGAAATAATTGCTGTGTTTACCCTCAAACTTACTGTAAAGATGGGATGATATCTAATCGCCACCAGATGTCAGCATTTCTCTGCAGTTTGACTCACTCTCACTGTAGTTTCCAAGCTGTGTTCTTTCATCGGCCTGTTTTCTTTATTTTTACGAAACCTTTCACCCCCGTCCCTTCTCCACCTTCAATGAGAAGTTGTAGGACGCACACATAGAAGCTGTCTTCACTCTACTGTTAGATTTCTGAGCAGCCTTTGAGAACCGAGGTTTTTGTAATTGGGTTGAAACAAACCACTTGATGATCTGACCTCATCGTGTAAAGTAAAGTGCCGTCGTCCTTCAGCCTCAGCAGCTTGTTGGGGGTGGTCATGTTGTGAGCGATCGACTTCTTGCCGTTCAGGAAGAAGGTGTCTGGGGTCCAGATGTTGCTGGCGAGCAGGTTGTTCAGCGGCAGCCTCTCCATGGGCCCCTTGAAGCACAGGCGCTCGTCCTTCCAGCTCTGACGGAAGAAGACGTCGATGGTGTATTCCTGCGACAAACACAGATTCAGGTTTTAGAGAACATCCTGCACATATAACCCTGAGAACAGTGACGGCAGTAAACTTCACCAATCTGACTGTCCTGTGATCACTTCATCCCTCTTGCAGTGAAGCGTTTTTCAAGAGATGGCTGTCAATTTAAAGTGCCGCGCTCCAGATCATCACTTTCTCTGGTGTTCATTTGCTCAAAATAAGCACGTAAAGTCACGGATTCTGTTTCTCGCTTTGTTTTCTGTCTCAGATTCATAGGATTGCCTAAATTTTTGTCCAAGTGGAGCTGTGAAGGCTTATTTAGGGTTATGGTGCATTGAGAAGCTAATTTAACTTCTTTACAGTCTGCAGTGTGGTCGCTGTTACAGTAAATTCTCCTTTATTCCTTCATAAGTCCACTAAGAAAGAGAATTAAATACAACGCTCCATCCCGCAGAGTAACGCTGTTAGCAGTGTGACATACACACTTTTATGGACCTCAGAGCTATTCCAGTCTCTTGCCACATTTCATTAATCAATCCCGCTCCCCTAGTCGATACCTTTTTTCCAGTCAATTATTTGACAGTAGCAAGTTTGATCACCACGAGGGATACGGCAGCGGTGCAATAGAAGAATTAATGAAAGAGGAGCGTTAATGCTTTTTGCCATCCAAGTGGAACCTTATAGTTCATAAGAGAACGAGTCATTTGGAACAAGTTGGAATTGTCCGGCCACTTTGGATTAGATCTGAGATGAGGAGCTGAAGTTGTCCGCATTTGTTTTCACTGAAAAAGTTTAAGGAAAAGGGACATTTTCAAAGACAGAGCAGAGGACGTGACAGAGCGTCCAGGTAACAGTTGGTTTCAAGAAATGTAAATATACAGAGTGTTTTCAATCTGAATACATACTGCCAGCAGGCTGGATGGGCTTTAAATGTGTGTGTGTGTTTGCTCAGCTCAGTCAGTCTCTTCTGCGGATGAACTCACCATCTCCGTGTCAGACACCGGGCCGAAGCTGGTGACGAAAATATTCGTCTTGATCTCGGTGACGTTCTCTGTTGAAGACAAACACATGAGGCGGCGAGATCGAAGAGAGGCCATGAAAAGACATCATCTTTACAAGACTGATATACGCACTCGTCTTTGACTCACACATTGAATAATTGTTACATGATCAGATTTACAACATTTGGATCAATTAAACCAGTGATCAGTATCAATACTGTCATTTAAAACCCCACATTGTGTTTGTAGTTACAGAACAAACCAGTGCTATCAGTCCTTCCATGAATGTCTTCCTTCCGAAAAGGATGTACAATTATTTTCTTCCTGTCATTAGTACGACTGAAGCCATCCAAAATCCACCCTATGCATATAAATGTGTCCCTGGCGAGCCGGGATTGGTCGTGCTGTGGAGAGCAGCTTGTTGAACGCTGAGTGAAAGCCTGAGTGTTTTTCTGGTATGTATTTATAAGCCCTCTTGTCAAGGGTAGCAACCGTTACCAGGATGTGAGGGCAGCCTTTTTTTTACCACCATAACACACCGCCAGACGTTCACAATGAAAATCCTCATTTCTACCTTTCATACATGGGGACCAGCGGTCCTCAATGATGAGGATGAAATAAAGGAAATCGGTGGAATAAATGCAATGAGTGCGTTCACAGAAAGAGCTGGCGACAATGAAAAGATTTCATTTAATAGCCTCTATTTATTAAAAGAAAAATATCCATCCTTGAATGGCAGTCACCTCTCAAGGTTATCTCTTGTTGCCAGGGTGAGGAATGTGAATAAAACAGTCCAGCCCTCTGAATTCAGGCAGCGGTGGAGATGGCTTGATTGATTTACTCTCCCTCCACCACGGTGGCTTACAAGAAAAGCCTGCGTGTATTCACGGCCATCCAGGAGGGACGCTGACGACGTGTGTGTGCGCTCACTTTGGCTGACATGAGCGCAAATTACACCTCTGCTCGTACAATTCCTAACCCTGGTGCCTCCATTTTTATTCCTGGGAATCAGGGCGTGAAATTGCAGCAGGGGGTTGTAGATGAGTTTGGGTTAGTGGGTTAGGTTAGCTTATGCTGGGAGGCTCGACTGTGGCTTTCTTATGTTAGAATGTAAAATTATGCTTTTGGCCCCAAAATGAGAAATATTGTCCCCCGGCAAACCTCCGAGCCCCGGCCGGAGCCGGTTGTCGTAACCATCCAGGAGCCCGTCCAGGATCCTGGTGAAAACCGTGCTGTTGTCATTGGCACTCGCCTCCTTCTGAGCCTCCGAGGAGTTCGAGCAGAGGCTATGGGAAGGGGAGACGAAGAAGAGGAGAGAGGGGAAATGAGGAGGAACAACATCCTAGCATTAGTTAAACTATAGAACGTCAAACATGACACAGTTATTGTGATTAATTAGCCCACCGCATTAAGGACAAGCATATTGTGATTAATTATGGAACATAAGTGCTGCTTCCAAATACCAGTGGATATAATTAAGGCTTTGACATGTGATCCAAATATAAACAAACGAGTTCCCCCTCTAAATATGTCAGGAGGCGAGGCGCTGTGTCGGGAGGATGAGGAGAATCATTGTGGTGAGAAAATGAGGAAAATTACTTTTTTTTTTTTTTTCTATCAAAGACGCACAAAGGTCACAATCTGGATTGGAAGATGTGATCTCAAAACTATTGATCAGGACAAGCCACTTAAGTCGTGTTGTAGAAGAGATGCGATCTATCAAAGGAATCCTCAGCAAAAACAAAATATAAGAACATCCAATAGTCTCATTTGCTAAATATCAATCTGTGGCCACACTGCTACTGCAACTTTATGGAAGACAGGATGTAAAATGTTATTTCCCATGATGAGCTGGGTTAGTTTACCTGTTTTGGCATCCACACAGCAGCAGCAGGGAAAGCACAAGTCTTGCCATGACTGGAATTCTGCTCACTTTGTTGTTTGGAGCTGCAAGACACAGATCCACATGCAGACAAAAGAGAAAATATCAAAGCCACAGCAGGAAGAAGTAAATACTATCTTATAATAACTCACACACACAAACTCTTCCTGCACACACACACACACACACACACACACACACATATGCAGGCAGACTATTACAGGAATCAGTAAATCAAGCGGTGGGACAGTCTCGTGCTCAATGAGGCTCAACTCTTAAAACCACAAACACTATAAAGGCCGGTGAAGACGAGACATACAAACATGGAGATTCTTCTCTGCAGTGTGATTCCCATCGTGTGCAGCTTCAGCTGCGTTTTGCAATTCACATGGGCCACCCTCCTCCTCCTCCTCCTCCTCCTGCTCCTCTATCCTCCACCATCACCTTTTCTTCCCCACTCTCTCCATCCCCACATCCCACATCTGCCATGCTGGGTGTGATTATACAAAAAGAAGAGGGGGGGTACCTGAATGCAGATCCATCACAAGGATATGGTTGATTGTTTTTGCTCTTCTTGCACGAGAAGGAGGCTGGTTGGGGTCTCTCCGTCGGCGGCGTTCAGTCACCTAATCCCCGCGGCTCGTCAGTTGTCTGCCCTCCTTCTCTTTCTCCACCTCCCTCCCTCTCTCTCTCTCTCGCTCTCTGTGTTGTAGTAGTCCGTCTGCTCCTCTCCTCCTCTCCACCGTCTTGCGCCTTCAGCTGCACCGCGTCTCCTGCATCCCCCACAGCAGCAGCAGCGGCATCACACAGGCTGCCACATCGGTCAATCCACTATATGCATGTTTGATTTTACCCCCCACCCCCTTCCCTCTTGTATGTTGCAATGGAGGCTAATAATTTAGGTGCTCCCCATTGGTGGGTTGGGAGGAGGAGGATGCACACTGGGGGGATGCGGGTGGAGGGGGTCAGATGGAGACAAAAAATTCAAGTGTGGGGTTTTGGATTAAATATTTTTTTTAAAAACACGGGTTGTAACCTTTTTTAGTTTTTATCATCCTCAAGTGCATCTTCGTACTCGTCATCTTCTAAAGGCGCAATGAAAAATGCGTTTGATTGGTTAATGAGTCTCTGCAAAGCAAAAGCAACCCTCTCTTAAAGTTTCCGCAGATAAATCCAATTCAATTTTATATGTATAGCTCCAAATTGCATCATATATTATCTCAAGGCACTTCACATATCAAGGTTCCCACCATGAGCAACTACTGGAGTATAAAAATCCTCCAGAAACCACAACCAGACTCTGTGTGGGCAGCCATCATCTGACCCAACCGGTCGGGCTGTGCAGAGAAAAAGGGTGAGAAAGAAGATAGCTTAAAGAGATAAGGTTTATATTTTTTAATTTATCTGAGACTTGTGGTTTTATTTCCTTGTAGTCATGACTTTTACATATTTCTCTATCTCTTTCTTTCAGCCCTCTTTGCTTCATCTAAGCATCTATCCATTACTTCAAGTTGACTTTACAGAATTATTACGAACACAAATATAAAAGCGAGGCATTAAAACAGTATCAATGATTGCCGCAATCTACTTTTCGTTAATATGACAAAAGTCAAATATATGTCGATAATGCTTCCGCTCGGTGAGGACATATTTAATAAATGATCTATCTTGGATTTATAAAACGTTTTGTTTTTTATCAAGCGTTTGTGGCTGTTTTTCTGTTTTGTAGCTCTGCAATCAACAATTCTCAGTCTCCTCCTGTTCAAGATGTGGCTGACAAAGCCTCAGTGGGGGGGTTGGGGTCTGCCACCCATGTAATGGCAGTAAAAGCTATTTATTATTGGGAGACCAAGGGAGGAGTGAGTGAGGGAAATAACAGGCCACTCAGCTTTTCAATCTTCATAATGTGAATAGTGTGGGTTTCAAGTCGTTTCCATCCTGGCTGTTGCCATAAGAGGGAAGCCGAGCTCCATGTTTCATACACGGTAATGAGCTGCTGATATTTCACCTCCCTCTACTTTTCTGTAATCTGACTGAAGGTGCAGTGTGTGTGTGTGTGTGTGTGTGTGTGTGTGTGTGTGTGTGTGCGTGTGTGCGCGTACGTACGTACGTGTACGTGTGTGTACGGGAGATGTAAAGAAAGCACCAGAGTCTCCTCAGGGGGAGGCTGATTTCAGAACCATGCCGGGTGCGGACAGCTCCCGCAGCCTGGCGGCCAGGGCATATTCGTTCAGGAGGGTGAGGAGGATGGAGGAGAAGGATGAGGGTGAGGGGAAAAGAAGGATGGATGAGGGTGAGGAGGAGGGGGGCGTCTCCCAGAGGAAATAGAGAGCCTTTCAATATTTGCCCTACAGCCACTTCCCACTGTTTGAGATTCCTGCTTTGCCGCAGGCGAGGAAAAGAAAACAGCAGCTTTACACACAGATCAATTACATTTAAATGCAATTAACTTGCATAAGAAATCAGGGATCTTTGAACAGTATGAAAGTGATTTTTACTGAAATGTCATAAATGTACATTCTCAAGAATAGTGAAGAAAATGAACCTCAGAACTAGTTGCATGTTTTATATACACATGTAGGATTTGTGTTTGTGTAATTGGTTGTATTTGGTGATTAATTACCCGCCTGTTTATTTCATTGATGAAATGCTGCTGTATAATTAATGATGTCATCACCCCTTCTCTTCCAGGAATGCTGTTGACGGAAACAAGAAGTTGTTTGCCATCTATGACACTAGGTAGGAAATGTCACAACACACACACACACACACACACACACACGGAAGCTCTGACATGCTTACAGCCCTCAGCTTCATATAAGGAGAAGAGTTCATCATAGACGATCACAAGCATTGATTAATAGGTTTATTGATTCAGCCTGTTCCTTGACTCTATATTATTCATGTCCCATTTCTGTAGGAAACACAGGGGAAGTGGTTTGGTGTGAGGGGCACTGTAAAAAATGTCCAATTTAACAAGTTGGTCAAATCTTATCCAGGAAATACTAGATGCTTGGTTCTAATCAGTGAAACCATTTATAAGATTAGTTCAAATCTACCATGAGTTCATTTGAATGAACAGAAGAATAGTGTTCCTTGAGCGATCCAAGATCCGCAACAAAAGAAGACATCTGCAAATAGATAAAACAACTGCACGCGTGTGGCACATGCTGCAAATACTCACAGCACTTTGGTTTTGGTTGTGTTGTGAGTATTTGGTTGTGGAGTTGAGTATTTGGTTGTGTTGTAAGTTTTTGCATCAAGTTTTCAGTGCATTTGCTGTGCACGTGTTGTATAACTGATGAAGACATTTTCTTTAATTGTTGCGTTGAGCAATGCATGCGCTGTTATTTAACTCATTTAAACTCTTTTATTTCTATTTACTTATTCTATTATTCTGTTAAAACCCTTTTTAAATGCGTTGTTGTATTCTCTTATGTTGCTTTTATAATTTCTCACAATGCTTTTTGCTATTTCGTGCATTGCCGGCCAATTTTTTTTATTCTGTGCCATTTTATTTATCAATCAAGAAAAAGGACAGTTCAATCCCACTCAGGTCCCTGGAGGGGGGGATCAATTCTGTTTTTGTTGCTGTCTTGAACTTAACATATTTTAGATTAATTACACCCGTGTACTACAAAATAATCTTCAGTCTAGTGTTTATTGCAGCGTTTTCTTTACTGGAACCCATCAGCTGCATGTGTGCTCTGATTTCATTATTATTATTATACCACGGCTTGGTTGAATTTCCAATAGTGTTCTTTAAAACTTGAAAAACTGTCAAATCCACTGTGTGGACAGGTGCCCCGCGCCCCACCCACCCCAATCTGAGCAGTCTAGATACGGCCCTGACATAGACTTGCACTGCAGCTACTGGTGGGCATGTTTTTTTACAGTGTGCATGTGTTCTCTCGTTTGAACGAGCTGAATGCCACCACCACCACCACCACCTCCACCACCACCTCCACCAGCAGCAGCAACGTCCCTGCACGCCCCGCTCATCAATATGCGCTTCAGCTGCTCCATGTAAGATCCTCCTGCACAGAGAACAAGCGGAGCCACTGTTCGCACCGTGGAGGCGATGTCACCTCCTTCACACCTGACTCCTTCCAGCCGCTGACTTCTCCCCCTTGGCTCGACTTTACCCCCGTTTTCTGGGGGGGAGAGATCCATGGATTTCCTCTGATCTGATCCGGAGCGCGTCCTGGACCGTGCGTTGATCTCAGGGGAGGGGGCTCTCTGCTGCTGCTGCTGTGGCTGCGCGCACACACACATAGGGGTGACGAGGAAACAGGAGAGAAGAGAGAGATTTGATAATAACAAAATAAAGGAGAAAGGGGGATGTTTGCTTTGCACCGGCTGCGCCAATTCCGCGTCTTTTCCGCACTGGTTGTCGGTTCGATTGTGTGTTGCGCGAAAAGGTGAGCGCCTGCTGTGTTTGTCATTCGGACAGGTCAAGGTTATTGCCCTGATTGGCTGATTGATGCAGATGTTTTCCTCTGGTTTGCAGCGTCAATGAGCCGGGCAACATGTCATTCGTGAAGGAGACGGTGGACAAACTACTGAAGGGTTATGACATCCGACTCAGGCCGGACTTTGGAGGTATGTGTGTTGTTGTTTATTTGCAATCCCACTCCCCTTCTTCAAATTAACCAGCTTTCTGTTTCATGCACAGTGTTGTGGTCAGGTGTGGGCCCAGTGCACACACACATAATCTGCTGTTTAACCTCTTCCAGGGGCCCCTGTTGCAGTTGGGATGAGCATAGACGTGGCCAGCATAGACATGGTGTCAGAAGTCAACATGGTGAGTGGATTTACACGCCACTAAATGCTGTTTCTCTGTGTTTACTCGACCGCATAATGCAACGCAGCCCCTAACTCTGTGCGCTGATGCACTGGCACTCATGCAACATGATTTCTGCAAGTGGGGAAGTGCTGATGTAAATCCAGTTCTCCCTGTGAAGCCATTATGTGACGCCAGGATGGATGGGCAGGCTTTCCTGTAAGCAATAAAACATCTTTATCTCGCGCAGCACAGTTGTTACCATACACATGCACAGAAACCCTCAGCCCGGGTGGAGAGAATAAGCATAATGCAGCCTCCTGATCCCTTCTCCAACAATGCTGATTGTCAGACAGCAGCACTGACTCACATAGAGGGAAGAATTACCCATCAGTACAGTAGAATGCCAACATGCACTACACACACGTCTGGGAAATTGGGTCCGGAGTTTATTTTTCACATTGTGTGGGTCAGACATGTTCACAACAGCAGGAATTCACCAATTGGCCAATTTGCGGTGAAAGCGACATGAGCAGGCCAATATTTTCATTCCTCTTTCACTCTTCCTGTTTGGATTTGATCCATGTGTTCAGCAGGTTCTTGGAGTCACAGTGAGGATGAACAAAAGGAAAAGAAAGGGAAGGAGGACAAAGTTCTGTTTTGAGCTTTAATCAGTTAGAAGATGATTGCTGATGAAATCTGTTTACAGACATGAACTCTGGAAAATGTGGGGAAGTCTGTGTCTGGACATTTTCCGGAGTTTGTCTTTCACATATGAAGAACGCAGCGGGAGATTGTTCGAGTGAGACAAAAAAGACAATGTCCAGAACTTCCAGGTGAGGGGTGCAGTCTGGGTAGAGCAGCAGGAGGCAGGAAGTGATGTATAAATTCTGCCATAGGAAGCATGTGTTATTGTTTACAGCATATCCACTGTTCTTGTTCGAAAATCTGGTTGTCTTTCTGAGGTGATATCTGTCGGCATCTTCTACATGTGTGGTTCTTCTTTTTCATCCCTTAGATATAGTCGTTTCCCTGCTGTGGGCTCACTCGGACATTTTACGCATATTTTACTCAGGGGGCAGGAAAAGTTACAAAAACTGCAACTGGCTCGTACGTTTTCATTCTTATCTGGAGACTTTATATCGGGAAAACGTGCACCTCTCACGTTAGACTCTTCAAACCAACAGCCAGAGGAAACCTTAGTTCTCGCTTTGCTCTGCTCGTTAACCTCTGGAGCCACAATTACCAGTGTTTCAGGAGTGTCCACCCAGGAGTCCCTCCGAGCAGACAGCTATCAGGGAACTCTGATTGGATTTGCTAATGCGAGCAGGATGCAGTTTGCCCGTGTTGACGCATGTACCCACACGCAGGAAAGTAACTTCAGGCTATTGCATCTTAAAATATCAGCCCTCGATGACCCAAATTGCACCGGAAACAACTGACACCGCCTCGCCTCATTGCCTGTGGTTTTAATCCCTTTGCAGAAAAGCAGGATTGTAAGGTGTCAGATTGAATGGTGGCCATTGCTTGTAATTGGTTTTGGATCCAGGCCTTTGAAACTCCCTGGACACAACCGCCGCTCCCGGAACAACACCTTCTACTCTGTCATGTTTCACGGGCTGCTGCGTGTGTAGGCAAGCCCGTTCTGACTTTTATTAGAGACGCTGCTGAGCCCGTGTGCTTTCATGACAATATAGTCGCCAAAGCAAAGCGGCCGCGAGGAGTCAAATTCAGGTCAGTCCGGAGGCAGCAGTTGACACCTTGACCTCTGGATGTGAACATCATTTCACACGTATAACATCTGGGCCTTAGTGAGCAGGAGGAGGAAAAACACCGAGTTTTTACTGCACGGCATTAGAAGATGATTTTTCTGTATCTGGTAGGTGGTGTGTGGGCGGGTGTTGATCAAAAGTAATGACTCAATCATTACCTCACCAGGTGACTCCTGCCTTTGAAAACATGACTTTTCAGTGGGTGCTCTGGGGGAAATTTTACAGAAGTATTTCTTAGTTGCAGCTTCTCAAATGTGAGAATATTTTAATTCTTGTGTGATAGTAAACACAACGTAATGAAGAAATGACAATTGTAATGAGCACAGTGACCAGATTGATTAACTAAACTAAGATGATCACATGATCTTTGTATTTGGAAACTCAAATGACTCCACATCGTTCTTCACGCACAGAGGGAGCACACGTGTGCATCCGCGCCCCCCTGGATGGCGTCCAGCTTTGTTTTTGCCCCAGCGTTTGACATTTGGTGGATCCTTTTCATCCGGCGCTGGGACCATCTGCGATTTTTAGCATTGGTGTTGCTCTGGAGGGGAAATGGATAATGAGTGCTTTTGTCCCGACAATGACAGTCCCATGCTTTGTCCCTTCAGCACCACTAAACAGCGCAGCCCAGATAAATGCTGCTCTCTTTGCTTCTTTTGCCGATGAGGCAATTTCTAACTTGTGAGGCACCATTCTGCATTAATTTCAATAAAATTTCCAGCGACTAAATCCACTAGCCTGGTGGAACAACCTGCAGGCGCAAAGAGGGAAGTTGTCTTTAAAGTTGAGGGTTTATTGAGACAAGAACTGCTTGTTCAGCTCAAATGAGGTTGGGTCCTTCTCTGAAGATGAAGAAAGAAACAATTCTGCCTAATCAGATTTTTAAGTTTGCATGTACGCAAAGTGCAATTGGCGAGTAAAGGTTGTCTTCCTGCCGCTTCATGGCGAGTTTGTCAGATCCCAGATCAGCGCCTAATGGCCTCGGTAAGGGTCATTTCCAAAGGTTAGACTGAGGGTTACTGTTGTGATCAAAGATAATTATTGGTTAAGCAAGTTGCAGGTAAATGAGTGCAGGAGGTAAAGGTTTCTTCTTTTTCATGTCTTGCCTCGAGCAGAGAGCAGCTCTTTTAACTCACTGCTTTATAAATACAAACTTTTCAAACTTTAGACCCAGGTGATGATGATTCAAACTACTTATTTACCTATTTTTTGCCATCAATAATAATTCTTGTAGTTGTGTGTCCGTCTGATGTTTGCTGTTTGCCACATGATGAATTTCCATGGATCTATTTTGAGATACTGAAGGGAAGAGTTTATTTTAGAATTATAAGATTATAAGACAGCCCCAGTAATTTATTAATGGTCCCTAAAAACAACCAGTGAAAACTTAGTGGACCTGTTTTTGATTGGCTACTTGCTGCCTCACACATATATTCTGCTGACACCTTTATAAACGTCCACTCTGGTTTTATGTTCAGTGGGAGTTCATTTCATCAACCCATGCAAGAACAGAAGGGGTGGGGGGTCTTTGCTCTGGACACAACGCTCGGGCAGATCAAGAGAATAAAGGAGAACTGTCAGACCTAAAGATTTATTGAATAGATGAATCAAGCAGAGGCGAGAGGAGAAAGTGAGGGATTGACGAGCCAGAGAGGCAGAGGGAGGAGGGTGGGAGCCGAGTGAACGCAGCATCTGGCCCCTCCAACAACCCACCTGGCAGGGCAGGTTGACTCAGTCACTTTCTGACACTCCGAGGCCGCCGCAGAGCGCGACCTCCTGCACCGGCAGATGCTATAACGTCTGAGAACGGCGCTAATTACCTCTGAGGTTCGTCTGCCGCATGCCGGGGGCCTGCGGTGATGAGAGACACGCACCAGTACGAGATCAGAACAAGACAAAATAGATGACTTGCTTGCTCGGAGACTAGACTTCAGAACGCATCACCTGAAAATGTGACACTTTTGAAATGCTAATCACACACAGGAGCTTTTTTTATTTCCGAAAATTGGGTCAATGTTGGTGGAAATCGTGCATTTAAAATGTTCCAAAATATCCTTATCAAGAAGGTTTGTGGGTGTGGGTTCTTTTGTACAAAGTGACGTCTCTGCTGCAGTTACAGATCATCAAGGCCTTTAGTTCATTATCTGCCCCTCGTGAAAGTCATCATAACTTTGGTAAATGAAATCACGGCATGATGAAGGTAGAGCCACTCACACGGGGAAGCGGTCAGAGCCTGGACCGTCAGTGTAACAGACTGAACGAGCTAGAACACCCACGACTGCATGTGGGCGTCAGAGAGGAGGTGAAAAGATTTTGTCTTTCCCAAATGTTCCTGCTGCTCATAAACTGGCTTTTCTGTGATTTCTTTCTTTCCTTGCTTCATGTCTCAGGTAATGCATGCGTGTAGATTTCAGCTGATTGACACCAGGATGATTCTATGAGGCGTTGGGGTTAATAACGTCTCCTGGTCCGAACCCGATTGTGTCTCAATCACCAAGAAAATCCATCGACAGCGTGCCCTCCCGCATAAAATAAACCTTGGAATCAGAAATTGCCAATGTGCTAACTATGTCACACTAATTAACTTATATAGATCTTGCAGCTATGCAGAAAGAGCGTATCTTTTTTTTTTCCTCATGTGCTCTGAGTGTGGCTTAATATACCCCCATGTCTTTTATCCGGCATCCGGCTTCCTGCCTGATGGAATGTAATTGGCCTCGGGAGAGAATGCGCTGCAGGATGATCACTGAGATTTACAGTAGAATAAGCAAAGCCGACTCTTCCTGGTTCGGAGCACCAACCCGCTGAAAGGACGCATCATTTGAGGAGGAGGGGAGGGGGCAATAGCACATCTCTGAGTGGCGTACACCTTTAAGACACTGCTGCTAATGGCCTGGGGAATTTTAAATTGACAGGCGCCAAACTCGTTTTTCTTTCTCTGTTTCTTTTATGCTTCAGCAAATAAAAAAAAAACCTATGGACTGGATTTATGATGGAAGTCACCGCAAAGGTCATCAGTCAGCAGCAGCCGTCGTCAACTTACTGTAATGGACACAGCAGATGTATGAGGTTTTTAGAAGGAGAGGAAGGACCCCTACAGAAATCGAACACGTGAACAGAAAGCTGTTGGTTTTTGAAATGATAGGAAATAAAAAAGGTCAGGGGAAATCAAGCCTCACATGTCTGGGTTAATAACTGTGATATTGATGTGGTGTATATTGGTTATTACAGTTATCAGAAGAGAGATGACCCGGAGTAAAGTAGAGACGGGGAGTGACTTGTTGCCAAAACAATGATAAATGTGATAATCAGGATTCTTGTACTTGCTGTGCATATGAAGTAGCTTCTAAACTGGATCAGTCGCAAGCAGCGAAGCTCAACACTAAACACAAAGTGTCCTAAGATAAATTATAGCCATTTCTAGTTGATTAGAAGACTGTGAAAAGATTTCCAACAGCAGAATGAGGCTTTCGTCTAATCTCTGCTTCTTGTGTGAATTCCTGGGTAACATTAGCTTTTCAAAAGTCCGGAAATCAATCAGATATCCAACATTCATGTTCGGAGCCTTATCTCAGATCTCACTGACACAGAGTTTGCTTCCAAGACAGATTCACCAAACTTTCTGTGCACGTAAATTGCTCATTTCAGCCTAATGAATGAAAACCAATATGTAAATAGTAATATAACTTATTACCAATTTTATTATATTAGTAATTTCCGGTATTAATGAATGTTGGATGGACGTTCTTAAACAAATAAAAATGTTGTTAACTTCCTTTATCAATTGGCAACTACCAAAAATGTATTGTTGTTTTTATGAAGGTTACGGAAGATAGAATTGTAAACAAGTTGGTGAAAGTTAAAATTATTAGCAGAAGTATTTGTTCATTTGTTCTTACAATGAAGCCCTTTATCTGTCTTTGGTTTGGTCGATGCCTAATATTCTGCGGCAGAACCCCCAGTTTTGCCATCAAGTGTTCTGCTAGTATCCGTTATCTAAATGTATGACACACATTCACACTGAAGCCAACAAAACCTGAAGCTAACGGCCAACTTAAGAAAATAGGGTGTCGAACGGAGCAGATCACTTTATAAAAGACTGAATCAGTTTACTTTGCTGAATATGAAAATGTAAACAAAGCAGAAGGGGAAAGAAAATGAAATAAAGTGTGTGTATCGTGTACTGCAGTGTCACAGTGGCTCTGCTCATACAAGAGACAAATGGTGGTGTGTTTGTACATTCACCAAAGGTTGTTCCCCGTGCTCCCTCTGTTCTCGTCATGAGGCCATACATCATCAAATATTACACGCTGAGGAAATCATCCAATATATCGAAGGCCAACACTGTCATTTAGAGGAAAAGGCCCAATTCAATCACCTCGCCGTGTTTGCGCTCAGTAAGGGACTGTGCTATTTTTACCATTCTATAGCTGCAGCAGGGAGGGGGGGCTCTGTTGAGGGATTCCCTCACACTGCAGTGATTTACGCCTCTGGGCCGTCCCCGGGGGACGCTCGGAAATTACATTGAAGTGACTCAAATTGCTTTACAGAACAGGAGGGGTTCATATGGCGTACACACCGATTACACATCACATCACCACGTCGCTCCTACTGCGCTGGAATGCAAAGTTAAGTCGAGGGAAACTTGCACCGATGCGGCCGTTATTGTTTTCACGTCGCTCGCATTGACGCTTTCTGTATTGTGCCGCGGCGTGTGACGATGGCAGCATATGCCGGGGAAAGGGGAACATATGCCATGTGACAAACAATGTTAGCAGGATATTTCCTCGATTCTGGCGGGATCACGACACAGCCAGTGTGTGTGTGTGAGAGAGAGAGAAAGAGAGAGAGAGAGGGAGATTAACTTGAATATGGGTCAGTTCACATCCAAAACTCTGCTTATATGAATTCTCACACACCCTGAATTAAAGTAGGCATCCGGTCCCATTAATTTAATAATTGAGGCTCACTGAAATTCACTTGTGCCGGTCACCGCTGAAAACAAACTCTAATAACAAAGCAGATGTGTGGACTGGGAGTTCATGTGTTGAGGGAAATGGGAGACTTGTCAATAATTCATAATCCATAGTCCTAGAAAATCTGAGCCCACCTCTCTCACCTCTCTCCAGGGCAGGTGCTGCTAAGACTCACTCGTCCTCATCTGAAATTCATTTTGATTGTCTCCATGCAACATTGATGAGGATTCGTTGGCCGTGTGTTTGTACAGGCTACGCGGTTGAGTTGAATCATTTATGTAGTACGAGGCGTGCGCTGCTGCAGCCGCTCCCCGGGGCTGCCCACCTGCTGATTCGCTGGCGGGAGATGGAAATGTATACCTAAAGCATCCGCTGAAGGCGGGGGGGTGGGGAGAAGTGATCGGGGTCAAAACAAGGCAGAGTGAGAGAGACATCAGTCATTTGTATAGGGAGTGATGGAGGAGAGGGGACGTCTGCTATCCACTTTAATGGGACTATGACTGATAACACTTATTTTCCCTTTAAGTCACAAAATCCTGGAAAGTAACGAGGATTTATTTTGCTGTCGCTCAACGTAGCGGAGGAATGATTCGCTCTCGAGGAGAGGATCGGCTTCAGTGCTTCGGTGCAAGTTATTCTAAGTGGATAGAAGGAGAAAAAAAAATCAATACAGATACATTAAGTTTCACTGAAGCAACAAAACATTCATCCTCCAGGGCTGTTAATCAAAGTCTGTTTCCAGGTGTAAGGGAGTGTGTGAATAATTTGTGACTCCATGAGGAGTGTGACGGTGGAAAGAAGTGATTTTACTGCTCCTCGTAACCATCAAGTGAGTTAAGCGCGGTTGCATTGTGGGTAATGTAGGCACCAGGAGGAAAAAACTAAACAATTAATTGATCAATCAATCAAATAATTGAACAAATGATCTGCAGTTTAATCCATCAAGTTGCAACATTAAGAGTTGTGTTAAATAACTTGACCAAAACCAAAGAAGACTATCCTAGTACCAAAATAAATTATGGTTCTCTTACCACCTTATATTTGAAATGTATTTCCACATTATCGGTGGAAATTCGGAGCCACAGATCCGTCCAATGTTTGGGGGCTTTAGAAACCAACCACCCCATGACTTCCCGTTTATGGCCCGGAGCCAATCAGCTTTCCATCTCGTGCTGTGTGACCAATCTGTATCCTGTGCTGACTAAGATCTTCCCCGGTCACATCTCTGTGTGCAAACCAAACCTGGAAACCAGAATCAAGTATTAAAAAAACAAAAAACTTTGAGTCTGTTGCCTGGATTAGCACTGCGTCATTCTATTCTTCAGTTATCTCATGAAAATGAAAAACCTCCAGTGTTTTGGAAGCATTAGTGTCGAGATAGAGCATGAACGGGCGCTGAAAGACAAATAACTATTCCAGTTACATAACGCACACAAATCTTTTTGGAAAGCCACGCTTATATTGCAGTGGCTGTTTTAATCTCCTTTTTACTTTTTTTTTTTTTTATTCCCGTTCGGCGTGCACCTGGAGACCACAGCGCCAACGGACATGTGTGCCTTTGCCAGTACCAGCTTGGTGCGGACAGGTTTCATTTCAGGGCCACAGCGGGCGAGAGGGGAGATCATGGCATTGCCCAGAGAGAGAGAGAGAGAGAGAGAGGTGCAGACACACTGAGAGAATCAGAAATAGAGGAGGGGGACAGTTAGCTCGGGTAAATGGATTATGGGATGTGGAGGAAGGAGGGAGAGGCTCTGTCCTCTATCTCCGCTGTTGCTCTGGTCAAAATAAAAACATTGGTTTTTACATATACAAGCTAATAGCAGCACTGAAAGAACAGCATCCTCGTGGTGGGACTTCTTGCCAATTTGGCTAAAGTGCCAGATGGCGATGGTTGGTGACTCATAAAAACACGAGCGACATCAGAATCTTACATCAACACCTTCGTATTCACAAACAATTCTCTGATTTAAAAGAAAACCAATCATTTGAGCCTCAGAGTTTGTTCACCTCACAGTTCTGAGATCAGATTACAAGTTTCTTTATAACTTTAACCTTTATAGACAGATAATTCAACCAATCAACTGCTGAGTATTATTCCAAACAGGTTCCAACTGAGCAATCACAGATTAAATCATGTAAAAAAAAAACATCAGACGCCTCAGATCAATGTTGTGAGGTTGGTCAATAATGACTGACAGATGAACCATCCATCTATTATGTATACAGCTTATGCTTCGAGGGTCATGGGGGGGCTGGAACCAATCTCCGCTGACATTGGGCGAGAGGCGAGGAACACCCCACAGGTTGCAAGCGTGTTGATTAATCAATAATGGAAATGATGCAGGCGAAGTCAGACTGAAGCAGTGAAATTAGTTTTTCCCCCAAAATCTTTACAGTTTGATCGACACGGCTACGATTGTGTTTAAATTAAAACATTTCTGTTTGACTCACAGATTTTCGTCCCATAAACGGAGAGAATAACAGTACAGTACCAACACCAGTAGCTTGGCTCACATCTACTTACTTACAAAAATATAAACAGCCAGTTCTGCCCCGGAGACGACCTTTTTGAATGAAACGTAAGATAACACGTGTTTCAGAAGCCATTACACTTCAACTCTGGGCTCTTTCTGAATCACTTTGTCTTTACTGGGAACATATTACGACTTTGTTCATGTGTTAGTCGAGATTTTGAGTGAAATTTCCCACTAAAGCTGCAGCTACGTGAGTCAGCCTGCCCACACGTTGTTGTGCACTGGGTTTTGTATGAGTTACTGTGTTTCGATGGCCCTTCTGAGAGTTTGTGTGCAGCTTGTGAACCGGTTGGCCCACACTCCCTGCAGCTCGTAGGATGCTGTATCATGTCATAGGAGCATAAGCAGCAACTTTGAATTATAAGAATAAAATATGTTTTAATCAAATTCAACCTATTCACACTGTTGCCTTCACTGTCTTTGTATCCGTAGGACTACACGTTGACCATGTATTTCCAGCAGTACTGGAGGGACAAGCGTCTCGCCTACTTAGGAATCCCTCTCAACTTGACCCTGGATAACCGAGTCGCCGACCAGCTCTGGGTCCCCGACACGTACTTCCTCAACGACAAGAAGTCTTTCGTCCACGGAGTCACGGTCAAAAACAGAATGATCCGCCTGCATCCTGACGGAACCGTTCTCTACGGCCTCAGGTAACGTCTTCTCTGAGCAGCAACACATTGTTCAGAAGAGTAGTAGATTAGTTGTTGTGCAATGTTTTAACTGAAGTGTTTACAGTGTAGGAAAGGATAATATAATATTTGTATTATTGTCAAACACAATGCAAAGAGCATCATGTAATTGTTGTGTAGTTATAGCCGGGTATATATTTTCCTCACAGGTTTATTTTGGAATCCACATACAACGTCCTGCTCGGTTGAGAACCAAATGTATGTTAATCCGCTACTGAAAATAGTCCCTGACAAATGTAGTCTTTCCCACTGTTTTGCTAAAAAGGTGTTTTATGGGATTATTGACATTTTTTACACATGGAACTATATATTTGTGATGCATTTAAAAAAGATTTGCCCGAGATTGAAAGACATAGACAAGGAAGTTTAAAAGTATCTTTGGACGTTTAAAACCATTATAAGTTAAGTCTGAGGTGGAGTTAAACCCACTATACTTGCACTATTGATAAGTTGGACTTTTGTTTATTGTCGTTGATTATAGAAAATGTTTTATTGCCCAGCCCTAAATAACTTCAGCCTCATCCTTTGATATATGTCTGAAAATTCTAGAAGTAATTATTGAACACAATGCAACGGCACAATTGAGTTGTTTGTTCGAGCGCTAATCCGCAATTTCTGGGCCATGCAAATGAGCCACAGTCCCCACAACAGGCAACAAAGTGAATCTCAGGGTCAAAGTGTTCTCAGATGTTTCCCAGTGTGGAGATAATTCTGTGTGTTAAAAGCTCTATTACACACAGCAGCACCGCGGCTGCCCAGGCTGAGAGTTTGGCAATTTCCCTGCTGCTGCAGCCAGAGGATTATGTGCGATGCTCAAGGGCACCTCAGCAGTGGATTTTTTAAAACAGGGAATGTTCCATTATGAACAGTTTGGAAGGTGCATTAATGCCACGCCAAGCTGCAGCTGCTGTTTGATATTTGTGTCGTAAAGCCCTTGTTTTGAATTTCCATTGATCTTTGCGACAGGCTCGTTCAGAAGAGTTACTGTGACCATGAATATGGATGCATGCTTTGAATTATTAGACTTCAGAGCGAAAAGTGTGCGCGCCCGTGTGCGTCCCTGCATGTGTGCTTGCATGCATGTGTTGTGTTCATACTTAACAGTCATGCAGCCGTGCTCGCTTATGCAACTGGAGTTCATAGCACTTAGCCTCGTGGGCTACTTATAGACCTCTCGATGCTTTGAGGGGATCAATGTGAGAGGGAGATGTGTGACGTGGTGTTTGTGATATGAGGTGTTACATAAATGTCCTATGGCTCAGGTGAGGCTGGATACACATTCCTATCATGTGTACGTTTAACTTATGTTTGTTGTGTTTCACTAAAGATTATTAGCTGAAGCTATAGATCTGTCTACTTATTCCTCAAACGTCTGTCTCTGTGTCCGTCTGTATGAGGAGCGCATATCTCCGCTCATCTAATGGACTCTAATGTGTTTTCTCAGTGCTCATGGGAGTTACAGTACCGAGTTTGGTGCAATTTGGAAACCTGATGCATTCAATATAAATACAATTTGTCTTCAAAATAAACTTTCTTTTTGTGGTTGCAATGATTTATATCGAACTGAATTGCAGAGCTTTTGTTTTGAAAAAGCTGATATGCAATGTCTGAAAGTTAAGTAAATAATTCAAACATATATATAAATATAAAGACCCAAGTGTCAAGAGGTCCTTTAGATTTAATCAAGTCCGAAGCTCTGATGTTGTGGAAATACAAATGATGAAATATCATTTGTATAGAATTTAGTCGAGTTTGTACCATGAATCATTTCTCAGATTTATTTGAAGGTTTTTGGTTCATTTGTGTATTTTACAAAACTGAAAAATATTCTGATAACTTTAACATTTGATAAAACCAGAGGATTTTAATCATGTAATTAAATGTGAGTTTTAATGTAGCTCAGAATGAACAAGTGAAGCCGGCCTCCATCTTAATGATGTAATCATTTAAACAGTTGTATCATATCACGTAATATATAAACTGCAGTGCGTCACTATATCGTTACGTTCAGTTTTTGTAACCTTAGCTGTATAAGAACATAATCTCCTGGCTCCACAGCCTCATCTGAGTCTGACGCTGAATGCAGACATCCAGTGGCCTCCTGCCAAGCAGCCGGCTCTTAATCAGGCCAGACTTTGACTAAATCATTTAGAATTTGCATTTCACTTTGCTGCTTATTTTAACTGTCTGCAGCCGGTTGAGCTCATACGTCCAATAAACAAAGGGATTCCTCCTCATGACCCAGTGCTGTCACCTTAATGCTTTAATCCAACTTTTATAATCATTTAAATGGTCCAGAGCAAAGTTTCCTCCTCATTCCATCCTCATCCATCTTCTTTCACTTTGTAAATCACATACTGAGTCTGAAATAGATTCTCTCTGGCTTCCCTCTCTTACCCCATTTGTGTCATCTTTCTGCAGGATAACGACAACGGCAGCGTGTATGATGGATCTCAGGAGGTATCCCCTGGACGAGCAGAACTGCACCCTGGAGATAGAGAGCTGTGAGTAGAACGGCCGAGAGCCGCTGGGGATGACATTCAACGCTGTGCTGCAGGCTGGGAAGGAAACCGACAGGGTCTCGTGTGTGAAATGTTGCAGTTTGAGTGAAACAGGGTTCATTATTTTTGTTTTAAATATGTCGTATATGACAAAACAGGTTTAACATTGCACTTCCATAAAGGTTGCAGACTCGCTTGTTATCTGCTAACTCCTATTACCAGGGACACGACCGCCGCTGGTCTTTATTTAGTTTAAATAGCCGATTTATCGCATTCAGTGTAAAATCTAATCATTGGATTCTATTGGAATAATAAAAGTGAAGCGAGAGCTGCCAAGGACGGAGGAAATTTCTGCAATTTTTTTAAAACAATTTTAGTGAACGCAAATGAACCCGTTAACAACTTGACTTTCAAAGCAACGTCTGGTTCTTGGAAACGACTTCAAAAGATTTTTATTTCTTCCCAAATGACCATGGATGCTCAGCAACACTGAATATCTTGGTCACCAGTGTTGCTTAGACAGATGGTTACACCTTGGTGTGTGTGTGTGTGTGTGTGTGTGTGTGTGTGTGTGTGTGTGTGTGTGTGTGTGTGTACAGATGGCTACACCACGGACGACATTGAGTTCTACTGGAAAGGAGGCGAGACGGCTGTGACGGGGGTGACGCGAATCGAGTTGCCTCAGTTCTCCATCGTCGATTACAAGTTGGTGTCCAGAAACGTTGTCTTTTCCACAGGTAAATGCTGCACTGCGATGTGTTGTGTGTCTTTTTCCAGCCTTCACACACTCACACATTCCCCTTATGGATAATGCATGACAGGCCGACAAGTGCATGTTACATTTTAAATGATATCGCTCACATCAAGCGCTGGCTTCTTTTCAAGCTTATTATTTAATCAATTTCTGTTGCAAACCTTTCGGTGCCAAGGCTTCATTGTTGATCTTCAATCCTCAGAGTCAAAGTTGTGTTTGTCGGAGCTTCTAATTGGGTTGATTCGAGGAAACGCACGGTCTTTGAAGTATCTCCTCAGTGTCTCTGCAGCATGCCGTAAACGTTGTGATTTACACGGTTTAATCTCGTCCGTGTCACGATGGCTCTTGACCTTTTGAGAGGTGATCTCATAATTAATGGTTGTTATTTTTCATTATCATGCTGACGTCAATAAAATGTGGGCGGTGGCTCCGATCAATTCAGTCAGTCAATACGATCAGTGTCAGAGGAGCTGGTGGATCTTAAAGCTCTCGAGAAGTTGGTTTCAAACATCAGGGTTTGTTTCCTACATGAAACGGTCTTGAATAAATATGACATAACAATGTGAGTTAATCAGCCCTATTGCCTCCGTCCAAGAGATTATGTCTGCATATGTTTGTCTGTTATTTAGCAGGATTACGCAAAAACTACTCGACGGATTACCACACTGAAAGGTTGTGGTCAGGGTCAGGGAGAAACTGAATGTTGGTGCATATGCGGTTCAAGGGGCGGATCCAGATCTAGATTGCGAGATCGGCAAGAGAATAATTTGTGGAAGTTGATGAAGAAAATCAGACACGTTTAGGGAACTAATATTTTCCCGGATCTAGTCAATTTAAATGCGGTTTCGTATGCACTCAACTGATAGGGTCATTAGATTTTAATGTTGATCCATTCTCATTAGTGCCTTTTCCCTCGATGCTCTAAGCTCTTACTCACAACAAACACAAGGCCCGACAGTCCCCTTTATCAAGTTTCAGATTCACAGATATCAATATCCTTAATGAGACAGATTTTTGGTGAAAATGTCCAAAAAAAACAATGTTAAAAAAAGTGAAAAACAATTCCTGGATCCGCTTCCATCCCCAGATGAAATGGGGGGAAAAAACGTCCCAGAGGAGAATAACATGCTTCCACCAAAGTTTGTGGAAAAATCCTTTAATTAGTTTTTGTTTTATCTTGGTTACAAACAAGCAAAGCAATGGGCAGGGGCGAGACAGCCTTGATAGAGGTATAAACAAAAAAACCTCTTCTTTGAGATCACGTAAGCTGTTTTAACTTTGGAATAAAGTTGCATCTTTTCACATTTATTCTTCAAATAGTTTGCCTTTGAATGGAAAATTAATTGGACGTCTTAATCAATCATTTAAAAAGGCAATTCAAATAGTTTTTCACCTTCAAAATAAATCTACATGATGTGTTTGGGTTTCTGTTCCTGCATCAAAGCTCTCATGATGCATTGCACAGTAAAATACATAAATCTAACATCTTGAAAGGACTTGAAAACAAAGCCAACAGTAGTTTTGATGCCCTGCAGCGAAACCAGATGATCCTCCAAACCCCTCATGAATATTCATCGATGAAAAACGCAGCACAGATTCTGAGGAAGCAAATAAACACCAGGAAGAGGTGCGGGCTGCGAATAAATCTTTTGACGTTGGCGTCGTCATTAACCAGTGTTGTGAAATACATCAGTCAGGGTTATTTATAGGCTCACAATGACGGTTGTTCTATCTCTCTTGGAAATTAATTAGAAGACAGGGCAACACCTTACGGCAATTTGTCAAGTTACTGTACAAGACAAAAAAACATTTGCACATCGTATTTCACGTCGCAATTAATCTGAGTTGCTGTTTTGACAAAGTGTAGAAGAGTAATTCAACAAGCCTCATGGCCCGCAGGGGTATTTAATATATTCCGTGAACTTTGGTGTTTATGTGCGGTGCACCAGGCTCCTAACTTAATGAGGTTTTTATGTGCACGTCCAGACCCAGATAGAGAACTTTATTGACGCTCCCTAACCAACTGCCATTTAATCTGGTCAGCGGAGACGCATTCAGAGAGGCAGCTTCTCCGCAGCCATGGCAGGGAAATAAAAAGCTCTGTGACATTTACAGATGGCGTAATTCCTCACAGAAGACGTGCTCGTGAGGAAGAGCCACCCCCAGTCTAATGAGGACACAGTAAATCATTCTTATAGGTTTTTATTTTTTTTCATCTTGTAGTGTCTGAGTCACAGCTCGAGACTTCACTTTCTTTTTCGACCTCATTTTGTGTCTTTATCTCAGAATGTTGCTGCCCTGCTTTCTCCATCACTCCTGTTGTGTCTCCACGTTCATCTCGTAGAAATGTGCCGAGTGCACTTGTTTACGAGATGCATTGCATGTCCCCAGTGGGTGGTGACTATTAAACTTCAGCGTCCAGCGGTCTGCTCCGGTGCTCTTGGCAGGATGTGTGCAAGGCGTCAAAGGCTCCCCGCCACGCTGGCTAATGACCAGGTTTCCTCCAACACCAGTCGACTTTACTTCACTCCCCCTTCTTCCTCTCTTCTTCAATCCCTCCTTTCTGATCTGGTCTCTCCGTCAGCCGCTCTATCACTTCTTTTACTTTCACCGCCTCTCCTCCCCCAACCGCCATACATGCCGCAGCCACAGTGTATCTTGTAAGAGGTGTGGTTGGATGCCAATTATCCTGCTCTCTGACAGAAAAACAGCCAAGGATCTGTGGCATTATATATTCATGTGCTATGAGGCCCTCAACATTAATTATTCTTCTCTAAGCACACATACAAACACTGCCTGTGCATGTACATACAGTGTGCATGTGTATGACCAGACATCATGGCTGTATTCAGTATATTGCTTCATGTTTTTTTTTGACAAACCAATTCGTTGAGATTTCGAAAACATGAAATGCTTCATTAACAGCTTTTGAAAATAGCCCTGAAAGTAGAGATTCTTTTACTCGTGTAGCTCTGTAACTCATTTTTATGCCTCAAAGCTCTTCTGCTCTTCCTCTCTGCACACAATCATGAAAACCTCACTCTCCAAATGATGTTTGATGCAACTTGTCTATCCAGTCCTCAACTGAATCTCCATGTTTCATATCTTCCTCCGATGTTTTTGGTTTTCAGAAAGACTAAAAAACATTTTTAAAAATGAATGTCGTCTTGCATAGTCAGAACATTACCCATCACCGAGGAGGGTGCAGTAATCTCATACTTCTATAGACGGAGGCACTGAGGGTGCTGCTGCAAGAAAGTGTCAAGTGGAACTTGTTTTTGATGTGTAGGCGACATGTCACAAAAACCAGTGACAGTCGTACATCATCTGTGTGATTGCACAGAAACGATGTGTATGGATTTTAAACACCATACTATAGATAGAGGGTGCGGGGGGGCAGGCTGCATCAGACGACTCTGAGTGTGACCCCCCTGCCACGAGGGCGACAGAGGAGACAGCAGACCTCTCCTCGAATCCATCGTGTCGCTATCACATCAACTTTCAAATCCTCCTCGCATCCTGTCTCCTCTCCTCCTCGGCCTCACACATGGTGTTCCTCCCACTCGCAGATGTTGTTTGGTGTAGCAGTTACAGCCGGTACAGTTCGACACCCACGCGCGAGTGAACCTCAGCCTCCTCGTTTTCTTTAACCGCGTCTGCGTGCGCCACAGAGACGGAGACGGCCTCAGCTCGGATGGAGGAGCCGCCGTTAAGGAGGCATTAAATAGAGGTTAATGGGATATTTTAAGACCTGTGACAATCTGTTCCCATATTTACTGTAATGAAGCGTATGTTCAGCGTGTGGCAAGTTTGTTCACGGCCGCCAGGACTATGAGCCAAATATAGAAGGATCATCAAATGTGCTTTAAACTTGAGTGTGTAAGCTTCCCTTTATTTATGATAGTTTGGTTTTATACAAATCTGATCCCACTCAACAAAACATTTGAGAACATTTCTTTCAACAAGATCCATGAATTATTCTCTGAGAAAACAATTAAGGTGTTGAAAAGCCAACTATCCTAACTTAAGTAAAATAAATACTTTAACTAACTACACAAAGTTAACAAGACACAAGGAGGGGCAGGCAATCAACGAGACAGGAAGTAAAGTGAGAGAGACACAAATGGGAGACGTTTCAAAGCAAAACAGGAAGTTATGAACCCAAGGTGCAATCAATATACAACCAAATATATATACATATATTCAATTCAATTAAAAAATGAGTCCATGCAAATGTAAGCAAGGTCGGTTATTTGTAAATCAAATTTCAACAATGATTAAAAGTGCTTTACATCAAAAATAAAAGGCCTGATGACAATAGAAAAAAAAGAAATTAAAAGATAAATGATTAAAATAATACATCAAAGAGTGGAAGTAATAATACATTAGTACTTATTTGATGTAATAAAAGGCGGGCCAAACAGAAGAGGAGAGAGTTGCTGCAGACCTGCAGTGGAACATGAAAACTGAACGCTGCTTATCCATGTTTAGTTTTGACTCTGGGGGCAAAACTGAACTGAAGTGATATGAACAGTGTTCCCATAGCGGTCCATAACAGTATCTTCAAAGTAAGACACAGCGGAAGAATCCTGACATCTTGTGTGATTGTGTTATATTTTTATCTTTCACAGCAGGTGACAGTGATGCTCAACACAAAGTGTAAAACTGGTGCATTCAGAAAGACGGTTCAATTATAAATATCTTTTTCAGGTCAGGACATTTTTTAATAAGTACATGATCAAATAATATCTAGGTTCTTCAGCACTAGCTTTAGACACAGACAGGTTCGATTCTTATCCTTGTTTTACCTGAGGACCATGAATGTGTGACAGAAAGAGACGTTGTAGAGATTTATTGTAATTTCTAATTCCTGCTTCACACTGATCCAATATGAAACATTATAATGAAAGATTCTCATATGAACCACCTTTAAATGTAAATCAGAGTCACAGTCAGTCAATAGCAGTTACAGGAGATAATAACGTTTGATGAACAGCCGCTTTTTAAAATAACATGCTGTGATTTTTATTGCAATCTAACGTACAGCGGAGCGCTGAATATTAATGGCACTGTGTCATTTCAGAGTGAGTCTCGATCCAACTCCACACGAGTGCGCAGTCAATTGGACCCACGCTCGCCACAAGTAGCTTTGGCTGAAACCCACAGATCGTAAATTACAGCATAATGGCCCTCGCTTCTCCTCCAATATAAACCGAAAATGGAGAAATAGCTAAGAATAGTGGGTGTAACGAACCGTAGATTCAATCCACAATGAGACAAAGGCTGCAGAGGCTGATGAGAAATTCACGCACACGCACGTGCAGTTATCAAATTCCGAGTTGTGAGAAAGCGATGGCAGAAATGCTTCCTCATAGCAAATCATGTTGAGGAATATTATTTCATGTTCCTGAGTGATGAAGCATCGGAGGCGTCGCGACGTGCATTTATAAAGCTTTTATCCCTGCTGTGGTGCTGAATCCCACCGAATCATGCCATGAATTATGGAGGTGGATGAGATGCGGAGAACTGATAAATCAAAAAATGTGCTGACATTTTTAGCACCAGGCTGAATATTGTGTCATCTTGAAACGGGGCTACAGTATTGTGTGTGTGCGAGAGAGGGAGGTAGAGAGAGAGAGAGAGGGAGGGAGGGAGACGGTATGTTTTTAAGTTAGTGAAGGGGATGCTTGTTGCCATGGCAATAAATCCAACCCATGCTTTCAGAGTTGTCATGGAAACTGAAACAAAAACACAAGGTGTCCCTGTGTGCTCCTTGGAATACTGTACGTTTGATGTCGTTCCTGCTGTCAACATTATCACCACCTTTAAAACCCTGAAATCCTGCCGTCTCTTTCCGCAGGTGCCTACCCTCGACTGTCTCTGAGCTTCAAGCTGAAGAGGAACATCGGCTACTTCATCCTGCAGACGTACATGCCATCCATCCTGATTACCATCCTCTCCTGGGTCTCCTTCTGGATAAACTATGACGCATCGGCAGCCAGAGTGGCTCTAGGTAAGAGGCGGCGGCCATTTAGATGCAGGTATTTGGCTTTTTGCAGATGAGGTAAGGGACCAGAATGAGCAGCTCCCTCCCTCCCTCCCTCCCTCGCTGATGGATCCCCAGAAGCAATGCTTCTTCATGAACTCAGAGAGACTGAGCTCCTCATTCTGTTTGTGGGATTAGCAGGAAAATTGGTGGGGCCGTTTGTAAATGGGTTTGAAGCACATTTCTATTATGTCTGCCGGAGTAGAAATAAAAGAAATTAGCATGAATGCATGACCTTGACTCGGCCCTAACTGGGTCATAGCTCATGTCTGTAGTTGCTGTGGTCACGGAGCTATAAATACACCACATCCCTAATGAGCATCATTTTCACTTCTTATTGAGAAAGGCCTGTGTGGGTGCCAGGGCCCACTCACTGTGGGGCTCCTGTGAGCAGTAAACAAGGCAGAGATGGACACCGCTCGGCAGAGTGATCCCTCGAAGGAGACTGCGGCTCCGCTACGTCTTTGTTGAACTGTGGAAGAGTTGTAGGCGACATATCAGGAGCAATGATTGTAATATGAGGGTTTGTCAGGACAAAAGTAATTTGGACAATGAGCTTTCTGCAGCAGTCTTAATTAAAACCATGTAAAATTGCGAAAGCCCAACTCTGTACAGCTGTGGTTCTTTTTTTAGGCTTTTTAAAATAAAAACACTAGAGCAAAATTGTTAATAGTGAATATAACCATGTGTTTGCTTTTAACCAATTAATATCTAAGACGACAAATGAAAGACAAACATTAAAACCAAATTCATTTTTGAAAACGACATCCTAAAACCAGAAAGTTGTTTTTCTGACAGAATTTCCAACATTTACAAAATCATAGTAAAAAGGTTTTAAAGACGAACTCCTCTTTGTCTGACTGATCTCTGGTCAGCAGGAATATGGTCTGGGTCTGAATCTTTCATTGTCAATGAAAGATTCAGACCTCTGCCACTGAAGTGCCCTTTTGCTTCAATCATAGAATTTAGAACAAGTTTACAGTTTCAGATTTCCTTCAGGGACTAACACAGAGTATTCTTCGCAGTGATAAAGGAAAAGATTGTCTCCAAGCTGGCTCAGATCCACTCATTCATTCACCGAAGCCCCCGCAACGTGCAAACTTTTCCAAGACACCATACGTTGTGCCACATCTTTGCTGCCAAGTGAATGACAACACAGCTTCTGCATGGTGAATGCTAATCTTGTAATCAGCCAAATTTAATATTCTATATAAAGACACGTGGTCCAGACAGCTGCTTTAGTCTGAGGGGCTCGGCAGCAAATCATCGCCCCGGGGAAAGTCTCAGGCTTTAATCCGTCCATGCCAATTGACTGCTGCCTTGATCATCTTTATGTGGACAGGTAATGGAGCAGTAATGACGCATCATAATGCTTTTTGGAAAACATGCTGTGATCCATCACCTGTCTGCAACACTGATATCCGCAGGAGCATAAAGCTTATTAGAGACTGGACTGGATCAGCGTGCTCGGACTTCAATTTGTTTTAAATCCCCCTTTTATTTGCCCTGAACTTGTTTGATTCCTTTGGTTAAGGCATGCATGCAGTATCTGGATATTACTGTGTGTGTGTGTGTGTGTGTGTGTGTGTGTGTGTGAGCGTGTGTTTACACGTGTGAAGTCCTGCTGACGGCAATATCCGGTGTGTGCCTCCTCAGCTTAGAGGCAACCGAGGGTCCATTCACTCCTCCTGATGGATCGTTAAGAACACTTCACCTTTATGGTGCATGGGAATGTGCGAATGTGTGGGTGGGGGGGGGGGAATGCATGCGTTTGTGCAAACCTGCCAGTGAGAGCAGTGTAATGATCAGGGAGAAATCAATTCTAGGGGGCAGCAGGACAACAATTGAGTTGTTTGAAGGGGAATCTCATTTTCCTGAGCATTTTTCCTGAGATTGTAAAGTTACAAATGACCCACTCGCACCCTCATCCGGTTGAAACCCATTTCCCTGCAGTCACGTCCTTCGTTCATAACCATATTATACGAAGAGCGGAGGTGTGGGCATTAGCTGTAGTTAGTGTGGGAGCACACGAGAGTTGGGCTCGCTGCGTGTTATTCCAGACCTCAGGAACCTCGTTTTTCTCAATCACTGACTCCCAAAATGACAAATGTGAGAAACGGTGCGCATGCTAACTAGATAGCTGACAATTTGTGCTGCCTGCAGGTGATGAATAGATGTGTCCGATCAACACCGCTTTGATTTACCTCCCGAGCCTCCATCCCTGTAGTTAACGTTCATTGCCGTTGCCCGTCCTTTATTGCATCCTGCATGATACCTTCTCCTCTTTATGATGTTGGGCTGTGTTGCTAATGGCCTATTGGCTCGTGATTAGAGGAGATTTGATTGTTGTGCGCCTTTGTTTCTGCTGTTGAGGTGGAAAAGAGACTTGGGGACATATAACGGGAGAAAAGAGGGGGAGGGGATGGAGAGAAGAGGGAAAACCACCACTAAATGATGGTGAGATCTGGGGGGCGGGGGGGGGGAAATTGAGGTAGAGGAAAGTGGGGAGAAGATGATAACAAAAGGATGAGACAGAGAGAGAGAGGGCGAGAGACGGAAAAAGACAGAGAGCGAGAGAAAACCTGTAAAACTATATTTCTCCCCGGAGAGTGTACCAGCGTGATGAAACAGGAGGGAGGCCCGTGACGAGCGAGCAGCGCCTTGATTAAATTGTCCGAAGAGGGAGCGGGAGAGGAAGTGGGAGAGGATGAGAAATGGAGGGAGGAAGGGAGTAAAGGACAGAGAGTGATGGCACAGCGGCGAGAACACCTATAAAGAACAAGGCTGTCGTTAAGCAGAGGAAGAAGACGAGGCAGCGACACAGAGCGCGTAAAGTCGAGCTAATTCACATTCACACCCTGTGACAACACTCATACATTCACACACATGAGCAGAGTTAGCCTTGTAATGTGCCAATAAATCACAATGAGGGCTGCGGCGACCTTAGCTATCCCCCCCCCCATACACACACACACACACACACACACACACACACACACATGTAACCCAGCTACTCATAGGCTCCATTTATTTCGAATGCAGGCAGATAAAGTGGTGGAGATATATCTGCCACATATGTGTAATGAGATCAAATGTGGCGTTGATGTGTTGCAGGTCAGGGTTTGCATGGTGCCACGTGTGATTTGCACAGTGGCCCTGAAAAATAGACAGTGCATAATCCAGCACATACATGTTACATACATGGTTCATAACACACTGGATACCTGGTGCATACACGATACATGACACGGTACATTCACGTTTCTGTAATCACTTATTTTTCTGGAACGTATTTTGCGTTTGATCGTCTTGACACATTTTGATGTCATCCCTTCACGTCCTGTCAGTTTGGTGAGGATGTGTGTTTTCAGTCGCTCCTGTGTTTTGCGTTGTCTTCAGTCGCAGTGCGCCGCTCTCTCAAGGCCAGTTAGTGTCTGTTCACGTCTCTTTCTCCTTCTGTCACGCTGAAGGTGCCTCTACCGCCTGATTGCAGATAACCAGGCTCCTCAGTACCTTAGTGGTTAAGGTTACTGAGAGCTGGGGGCGAGACACACGCAGCACTATTCTAATGAGTTATTTCTGTTGATGACCATGGGGCAGACCTCTGAATTTCAATGAAGCCGAGGTTACTCGCTCACCTGTGTGTGTGCTCATGGAAGTGAAATAAAACCAAACATGAGAGAGATCTGGAAATTGTTTTTATAACCCCCCCCCCCTTCACTCTTTCTGTGACTCCTTTAATCCCACAGCAACATAATTTCTTTCACTGCGTCAATCTTTACTCTTAACTCTCAGAGGAAAGAGCCACAACACGTTTTCTAGAATAAAAATATCCGTGTCTCTATAGTAACACCTCAGACATCTGTTGGAGTTTTGTCTGACGTGACTTTAAGGTTCCTGAGGAGATTGTAGCATCTGCTCAGATGCTGGAGTTCGCATTTAAGACTGGTTTACACTATGACAGGTTTCTAACTAATTAAGCATCAGATTTACCGTCCGGGAGACGACATGTATGGAAATGTTTCAAATCTATCCTATGGCACGTTGTCCTATTAATAAAGCTGAATGTTTGTTTGTCACGTCCTATTTTCTAAAACTCATGGAGCTGCAAATATCATATTACAACCTAATATCATAAGCAGTGTTTTACGATGAGTACATATAGAATATTTTTTCTCTTCCCTCCTCGCAGGCATCACTACCGTGCTCACCATGACAACCATCAACACCCACTTGAGGGAGACGCTGCCCAAGATCCCCTACGTCAAGGCCATCGACATGTACCTGATGGGCTGCTTCGTCATGGTCTTCCTCGCCCTGCTCGAGTACGCCTTCGTCAACTACATCTTCTTCGGGCGGGGCCCTCAGATGCAAAAGAAGCTGGCGGAGAAGGCGGAGAAGGCCAACAACGAGCGGGCGGCCAAGTACGACGCTGCGAGGGTGAGTCGGGATGTGATGATGGAACGCTTCTGATTGTTTTTTACGTGAAGCCGACTAGAAGTGTCCGTGGGTAGATGGATTGAAGATAGAAAAAAGAAGTGAATCAATAGATAAACAACACTGAATGTGTAGGTCCAAGGTGAGAATGTGGAGCTTGTTGTTATTGATTTTTGTAGAAATATTGTTTGCCTGTAGGATCCACGTCGAATGAAGAATGACTCTGGTTTGAATATTTATCTTGTTCTGCAGCACAGCGCTTTGGAAATGACCGCAAGTGGTCAAGGTCTCAAATTCATTTTCTCCTTAACTGGTTTTTTTTCAGCAGGAGCAGCAACAGGAAAATGTTCTACTTATTTTAACTTGATTGCACATTATTTTTAGGAACGTGTTTCCGCACTGGAGCCAAAATCTGTTGGTTTTCAGGTTTTTTCCTCCCCAACTTGTGGCTGAATATTTTTATCTCCTCAGGAGGCAGGTTGTAGGACCGCGTCCCTTAAACGGTCCAATCAGGTTAAAGGTCTTCGCCACTCACGCTCGGTGAGTTGCTTGTTCAGTGGGACTCTTCAATATCCTCGAGTCAACTCTGCCATTGCCATCCGCTGACATGGATGTTTTTTTAATTTTATTTTAGATTTTCTTTTTGCCTTAATGCAAAATTCTTCTCCATCCATTCTGAGTCAAGCGACAACAGACATTTCCATGACGCCGAGTATCCACTCGGACTTTTTTTCCACCGCATTGAAACGACCCTCATGCTCGATTCTTCCGTGGTGAACATTGTCGTTGCAGATCCGAGCCTGTTTCTCCCTTCAGAGCTGAATGCATGCTGCCTGTGGATCCTCATTCAAATCATCATTACCAGCCACATTTGTCACGCACATGTCGGGATGCTGTGAATCAGTCTGAGCGGGTGCAGAGGTCCCCTGTTTGAAATCCATAGAGAAAGTATCTAATACTTTCTAATATATCACATGTGCTTCGTTGTTTGCTGGCTGATGTGTGTTGACTTGTGCAAAATCAGCTACTTTAAAAAAAAAAGGGAAATGTGAGACCTCCACAGTTTCTCCATTTGCATGAACGACCGCCATCGACCATTGCTGTTGGTTTGCTTTGTGGCACACACATCACACAGGCATGGAGTGTGACACTGTGTGGTTTCATTCACGTGTTGGGGGGGGGTTAAAGATTTGACAGCTGGAACTTCAATTCTCATGTTCAGTCAACTCAGGAGCAAAAGCTTAGCACGGTGCTGATGTTTCCGTCCCTGAGGTTCATCTGAATTATTTTAAAGAATCACAGTTACATTTTAAAACACTGGATGGATTATGAGGCAACAGTCCTCTGGGCACAGACTTGCCCACCGTGCCTCCTGCATATTAATGACTAGCAGACACCCAAATTGAAACAGACTCACAACGTTGCAACCTCTTTGTGGCTCTGATTGACTTTTCAACAAGAGGGCACCTAAGACAGAGTCTCCGACCCCCAGGGCCCCGAGCCTGTCCCCAGCAGGCCCCTCCAGTAATTCCCCCAGGATGACATCCACATGTCATTACCTCAAGTGCCTTAAAACTTCCCGTAGCTTCCTCTTTAGCTCTTCCTTTTGCCTGCGCTCAATGATTTTGATTTCCTCATTCCACCGTCCATTCAGGCGGAACCACACGGCCACGGGAACATCCTGCTCACCACCCTCGAGATCCACAACGAAGTGGCGGGCGGCGAGATCACCACCAGCGTGGCGGACATTAGGAACTCTCAGTCCATGGTGCAGTTGGACAGCACTGCCTCGACGCACATCCAGTACCGAAAGCAGAGCGGCGGCAACGGCCAGCGCTCCGGCAGCCGCCAATCGCTGGACCGGTCCGCGCAGATGAAACGCAGCCGCCTGCGCAGACGGTCCTCGCAGCTCAAAATCAAAATCCCCGACCTGACGGATGTAAACGCCATCGACCGCTGGTCACGGATCATCTTCCCTTCCGTTTTCTCACTGTTCAACCTTGTATACTGGCTCTACTATGTCTGATTGGACCGTTGTGTTGAGGTGTTTGGTGTTGTTTCATTTTTATTTTCATTTTGTTTAATTTTCTTCCTTTTTCTGTTGCTTTTATACACGATGGAATATGTAGAGTAAAAGACTGACAAAGCACAAGACAAAAAAAAAAGACTGAGAAAGACTACTGAGGTTTGGACCAAGTTCTCGTCAAAATTGTTTTTATATTTGAAGTCATTGAATCCTTAGTATTGAGGTCTTTTTATTTTCTGAAGTATGTACTGTAACTGGGACTTGTGGCAACCATTTCCCAACATTCTCCCTCTCAGTAATGTGTAAATAGACAGATACAAAGCCAGCAATAGAGTAAATGATTCAGTGTTTGCAAAAAAAAAAGCCAAACAAACAATGAAAACAGTCGATGCAAAGATTTTTCTAATCACAAAAAAACTTTATACAACACAGGTGGTCAGAGAAGTGCGAACAATTTCTAAAACGTCATTAGCCAAACTAGCGTACGTATGTTTGACTGGTACCCTATGCACTCTTAATGCATGCAATGATCAGCCATAGAGGAACAGTAATGGCACAACTTTACAGAAGAGACGCTGTTGATGTGTATTTGTTTATACCGTTGATAATATATAAGACACTTGCTATTGACTTTATCATTGATCTGGGGAACCTTCACACAAACGCACTCGTTCAAAGGAGAGGATGTTGCCTCTGTTCAGGATTGACTGTGACTCAGGTTCGGAATTTTTCGCTATTAGGCATCTTTTCCTCGACAAAAGAAAAGTGTCACTGAAATATTATTTTTTTCGTAATTTGATACAGAGATTTAAAGAAGGAGAAGAAGCACAAATACGAGTAAAACTGCCATTTTTCACTTCTAACTTCTCGCAGCAGCGCTTCAAGTGACAGAATTGCACTCAAATTTCCTCGAACTTACTTTCAAACAACTGCCAAGGGCCTTTTGGGCGATACAGTTACTCAACCCATGAAATACTATAGTATTTTTGTACTCTGTGTCTTCAGGTATTCATTTGATTTATTGTTTTCTTTTGCTCAATACTAACTCTGCTGTGATGATGGAGTGGAGGAATGAAAACCCATTGTTTCTGTACATAAGTACATAGGTGTGTATATACATAAATGTGTATATATATATATACTGTGTGTACAACCCAAAATGAAAAGGATCAAATATTAAGAGTTTTGTGAGTGTCATGCTGACGATTAACTGTCAGACTATTTAGTGCAGGTTCAAAAAAAAAGAGTTGAGGATTAAACCACAGGTCAGTTTCAGGAATCAGTTTTTGAGTGTCAGCGGGGCACTGGATCAAACAGCCCACCATGTTCCACTCTGGACACTGTGTATATGTTCAATTCTGCATTTTTATTGTACGCTCTGCCACTCAGCAGCAACTCATGCAAAGGGATTTCACTGATTGTGCAGACGGACCAGACGCTGACTAACAAGCACATACTGGCATTGAATGTATCAGTTCCATTCTTCAGGGAGAGGATAATGAGCCATGGTCATCCTTTCTCCATCAGAATGTAACACGCCCATTCTTGCGTTGAGAGTGATGTAGGGATAGAGGGGGAGGGCCGATGCTATATACGAGTGTGTGCATGTGCATGTATGTTTGAGAGCGATGGGGAATGGACGGGGCGAGCTTGGGAGAGGACGGGCGTGGGTAGACGGTTCATTTTCTGTGCTGCTTGCTCGACTATGGACAAATGTCAGCGTATAATAGTTTTGTGGATAGAAGTAGCTCTCCTGTTTGACTCTTGCCTCTAACCTGTGCCATTCCACCTGAGGTTGCAGAGCAAGCGACCAGTTCACGGACGATGATGTAAATCTGAGGCGTTTCTGTCACAGATCCACGGCACGCTGTAATTTGTGCATGTACAAGAATACATACAAACTGCCACCGACAGACAGTGAGTTCTGCTCTTGGTATGTAAGAGTCACTGACCGTCAGAGTTGGGATCAATTTAACTTTGAAATGAAAATGTGTAAAGTCTTATGTGTAAAGTCTGATATGTGACTAAGAACTGAATGTACTGTACTTGGATTGTTGCTGCATTGCAAATGCAATTTACTTTCTGGAAACAGGATTGACCTCAACCTGATTAATATAGGGCTCCAGTTGATTCCACATTTAAGTGACCCGAGTCTCTCGCTGGTTTCGTGTCCTGTTTTCTACCGTGTAGATGGGGCAAAGTGCAAACTCGACCTGGGTTCAACAAAAAAAGAAAGTTCTAAATGAAAAAAAAACACCACATGTTATAAACCAAAACTAGGAAGGCCCCTGAGGATCCATAGTTAAACCACGTGTAAATCTGTACTCTGTTTACAAATCTGTGCGCACAAAATCACAATCGGTTCTCCTGTTAAAAATTTTTGCAGTTGGCTCTTTTCTTTTTTTCCTCCGCTCAACCTTGAGGGGCTTTTAGCATCTTTCTGAAAATGTGTTCACCCAAGACGTGAAGTGAATCCTCATTTTCCATATGAACTTCTGAACCTTGTGTACCAGTGATTTGAAAGTACCAGAGATTGTTGCAAGCTAGCAACAAACTTTACGTTTAGAAAGTAAGTTCATAAAAGCATGGGATGTATTCAAATTCAAGTGAAAACACGCCTCTCCAGTGACTGTGTGTTCTCTTCACGTTCTGCCCCAACACTCAGAAGATGTCTTCACTTTGGGTTTTCAAGTGTCTGAAGCAGTTTGTCTGAATCAGTTCAAGCTGCTCTGAGTAGTTTTGAGGGGAACGTTTGTACCAACAAAATGTCTAAACAGTTGAAAAAGCTTCAGTGTCATGTAAATAAGATATAAAAAAAACAGATTCCTAGAACACTGGAGCTAGAAAATGACTGTTTTCTGGTGCAAGTCACACAATCTCCCTGACTTACTGGTTCGCTTTGATTCATGTGGTGAGATTTAAAGCAAGTTTTTGCAGTTGATCCGTGTTTGAGCCGTTTTTATTAATTACCAAACTACACAGTGCAGGTGAAAACTCAAAGAGGAGGCAACTTATACAAACTCTCAATACTTGTTTATCATGCATGCGACTACAATTTGTAACTTGGGAAGATTTAAAAAAAAAAAAAAAAAGATATTTTGCAAACGTACTTAAATGAGAGCTGCCGACTGCTCATTTTAGAGATGACATGATGCCATGTGAGCCTACGTTAAAAAGAAAAACAAAAAAAAAGACTTCAGGTGTTGTATGGCCTTGGTCCCATAATGGAATGTGAAATGTTCTGTGCTGCCACAAAATGTACTTAGGCTTAGATTTATACTGTATATCTCTGTATGTTTCTCTTCCTTTTTCAATAGATTATCATGTTAAACCATCAATAAAGGATATACATTGTACATGGTGTATTTGATATTGTGAGCATGCATTACACAGCACAAAAATCTGCATATATATATATATATATATATATATTGCAAGATGAAGTGCAGTGAATGAAAAATCCTTTTGATAAAGTTTAATAAAGTTGTGTGAGTGCAGTAGCTCCCTGGATACAGAAAGAAAGACAACGTGGAGGTGGAGATTCTCATCGGGTCACCGTCACCTGTCAAGTTCATGATTCCCTCTGTGGCTTGTGAGGAACAAAATAATATTAAACTCTGAAAGTTTTTTTCCAGTTAATATCACAAAGTAATAAGATCTTACACTTTTTTCACATTTAATCCATTGGAAAAGCTCCCAGAGGTTTTGATTTCATTCCCAGAGGTCGACCTCCAGATGAAGAGGCTCAGCTGATGGTACCACCCTGCTGTCAAATCAAAGCTGAGAAGAAAGACGTATAAAATCCTAAAGGTAAGAACTGTGCAAACATTACCAAAGAAACAAGTGGATCAGTGAGAGGAAGCTGCACCAGAATCAGATTATAGTAATGATTAAAATCAGGCCATTCGAATGGGGTCGGAACTACAAGGGACCCACGCACATTTACACAGAAGAAGAAAAAAGAAACAAGGTGTTCTAATGTAACTAGGGTTCTTCAGGTTTAAAAAGTTTGGGTTCATAATTCTGCAGTGTAATAATTTCAGAAACTGCAAAGGCTGTCTTCTAATGTGACTTCATGAGCGTTCACACGCTCAATTCTAAATCTCACTATAATTGTGCTGCCACTTGATAATCCTGCTAATTCACGGACACACTGTTCTGTCTGGTGCATCTATCATTTTAATGTTAATTAAAGTTTAATGCCTTAAAATACAAGATAAAAAAGTGCCTTGCTCTTCTATATTTCTTGCCATTCCACAATATGTAAGTTTTATAACAAACTAAACTATAACATTTTATAACATAATTAGAATATTGCATTGCACTATTATGTTTTTATGATTTTAGATGTTATAGATTTTATATATTATGACACTAGTCTTAAATCCATATCTGGCTTTATTGCAACATCATTGCTGCTGTTCTGTTATTATTACTATATTGTTTATAATTATTATATCTACCGATCGATCTGTCCACAATGTTTGAAAAGCAGAAAAAGGACAAATGTATATTTATTTATTTATTCTCTGAACAATGAATTTCATTTCTTATATAAACGGTGTTTGGACTTCCGCTCGCCTTGTCTCCTGACGGACGTGCTGACGTACTGAGGTCAGCGTGCTGCGTCATTTCCGTTCCCACTTCCTGGTCTGAATTGTTTGTGTACTGACTCCGGCGGCTGCACGTGTCTCCTCCGCAGACTGAGCTGTACCGTCATGTTGATCCTCTGAGGTGGGTTTCGAACCATATCCACACAACAACTCTTATGTACAATTGAAATCATATTTAGTTACAAATAATATCTTATAAACACTTGAATATCTGAATACTGGCTATAGATAGATCGATAGATAGAAATAATAACAATAAAGCCTAATATTCTAATAGTAGTAATAGCAGTAACAGTAGTGATGATGTAGTAATGAAGCCAGACATATATTTATGACTAGCATCATAAAAAGATCATCGTCCAAATGATCATACAAATATTTTAGCATAGTGTAACTTCTAAATGGCATGAAAATAATCTAGTTAGTCTTTGGAAACCTGATAAAAACGTCATAGTATTCTTTGGTTTCCCACATCAATATATAAATGTCACAATTTAGATGTGACACAACACTGACTGTGGAATTGCACAGAATAAAGAAGAGCAAAGGATTGCACTTTTTTATCTTGTATTTTAAGGCATAAAACTTTCATTCACTTGCATAGAAATTGTCAACAGTGTCAACACAACCACAGTGAGATTTAAGGACTGAACTGTCATGAAGTCACATTATGAGACGGGTTTTTCCGGCTTCTGGAATTATCACATTGTAGAATTTTGGAAGGCAAACCTTCCGTCCTTTTTTCTTTCTTTCAGGTCCTCCCCTCAACTCACTCTGTTCATTGTAGGTACACACATTGCAAAAAATCATAGTATATCATGCAATTCATGAAAACATCTTTATACAGAATGAAGTGTATGAGAAATGTGATGGTAAGTCACATTTCTATTCTTCTCACCCTCACTGCAGCTCACCTGGTTTAGCTCTGTGACCTGAAGTTAGTCTGAACATTTAGTGTCAGTGGCAGGGAAACACAAAGCTGCTGTTAAGATTATCACACTAGACTCCTCATCGACCATCACTAAACACAACCTAACATTTTTACAATCATCAGTTTCATAGAACAGTACTTAGTTGAGTTGTATGTTCAATAAAATACTTCTCCAGCATTAAAATGAGTACATATCAGGTAGAAAAAAATATATTGGCTATGTCACAGGCTATTGATGCATAATGAATTCAGACAGTGCTGAGCTTTTCAACTCCCCCTGCCTCTCCACAGTGTATGAGTCCCTTGGGGTGTGTGGTAATCTCTTTTCTTGCCTTTATAATGTATATAGGGGTTCTAACCCCGCGGTATATTGCAGAGTTTATCATTAAACTAATCATTAAAGAATATCACTGTTCAGCAGCTTGAGGGAGGCATGTGAGCAGAGCTGTTGTAAATAATAAGGTAGACACAGTATTTATCTGTGGCTCGGACTCTTTTGGAGGTTGGAATATACAGTCTTTGTCGGGTGTTTCTCAGGTGAGCGGTGGTTGTGACGTATTGTGATAGATGAACTCAGGCAAACAAGATGTCAAGTCACTAATAAACAGCTCTCAAAGGGGCCATAACCCAAAAGGCAAGCAAAGGTTATTGTAGCCAAAAAAAAACAAGCAAGCATCTGCTATCACTCATTTTGATATTATCAATATTATAGAAAAATTCCCACTACAGAACAGTTTCAAAATCTGTCAAGGGCTGTCTGGATGGATAAGGACATACCCTTTGGACCTGATATCATTAACTGGCAATGCCAAGGATCTGGATCTGTGATTGCTCAAAGAATTATGATGGAGCTCAGATCCACCTCCCTTTCACTGGGTGAGATGTAGAGGCTGTCGTACGCTGCCCTGCAGGAAGCGGAGCCTGGATTTGTAGCGTCCTCCAAATATCAGCCCAGCTCACAAGCCTGTTCAACAAAAAAAATAGAGAGGACAGAAATACATTTTAATTAACTTATCAGAAAACACAGCATTTGAGCAAACATCAGTAAGATAACCAGACAGAAATCATCTTAGAGATGATTATGTCATGTTGTCAATCTTTATTTACACTATATCATTTCAACAATGTCACACAAAATGTACCTTGTGAGAGCGCCTCCCATTAAACTTTACTTAACTAACTTTAGTTGTGGCTTTCGGGAGCTTTTTAGTCGTAATCTCTTGCATTTTGTTCTGAGCTAACTTTGACCCCCAACTCAATCACTGACAAGCTGTGACATTCAGCCTCCGATAGAGCAGCGAATGTGGAAAAATTCATCAAGGTCAGTTCCAAAGCTGGATCTTGTTGCTTTAGGATTCAGTCTTATTTTGAATGAGACCAGAACAGGAGCTCCCTCTGACCAGCATGCATCGGTAGATATTACAATTAGTCTGTTTACTAGTCTCACTTTAAAATAAATGATTCTGATAAAGTTGAGCAAATGCTTTATAAAGAGTCAGTGACCAGAGTCAGGTTTCATAATTCAAAGAGAATTTAAAGTCATCCATCTCTGCGCTGTGAGTTTGTAGGACTCAAGGCCACAGATTTGATTGTAAGATAACATTTTAAGTTTAAGCAAAGCATTGATGTGAAGTACTGCAAACAAGCCTTTTAACATTCGCATAGCAACAGCAGCTTCCGCAGCCAGGTCTCTCTAATTACACTTTGGTGTTTAGTGCAGCAGCCTAGTTGTTGTGAGGGGAAAATAAAGTACTTCTGATTCTGAAATGCGGCGGCTTAATAATACATTTGTCCCCTTCTTGTATTTTTTTCTTTGTTCAGCTGAACCTGGAAGTCCTGAGTGGACACATCGAGGTGGATTCTTTCTGGGTTGACCCACGGAACCACCTCTGACCCCCCCACAGCCTCAGAAAGCGGTGAGGATTCAGCGCGCGGCGTCTCTTCTCCACAAACTCACTGAATGAATTCCTTCTGATGTCTTCCTTCTTTCTTTTCTCCCCTCGCTGCCTGCCAACTGACATACTTTCTTTTAATTCATAAGCAGCAGGGCGAGCAATGGAGGGAGCGTGGGAGAGAGTAGGAGGGAGAAGGGATGGATGGAGAGAGAAAGAAAGTCAGTTTCAGCATCAAAAGGCAGTCTTGGAGACTAGAGGGAATATACTGACTCTTCCCTGCGCTTTTTGATGATGCCTTTCTGTTTTATGAACTCAATCATATGCAACAGCAGCAGCAGTGTATTAGCCTACTTCTCCCTTTTACTGTTCTTGCCCTCTGTCTCGCTTGCTCTCGTTCCCTTATTACACCCTGTCACTCATTCCTTCCCTTACGTACCATCTCTCTCGTCTCTCGTTAAAACCTGTCTCTTATTTTCAAAAACATCCCTTCTGCAATCGACTGGCAGGCATTTTCTGAAACGTATTATGTTAGACAATAATTCTGACAGCTCACAGAGGAGGGACGAGCCCAGATAATAAACTTTTCCTGAAGACGCAACAAAGATCCCTAAATCATTAAACATTTAGAGGGCTATTCCCCAAGTGTTCAATACTACAGAGAATAACATGTCCTATTATGTGTGACCCAGAAACAACTTGCATATCTTGACTCACATCTGCTTGCTGCAATCATAATTAAGAAAAATCTGTCTTTTGAAGAGACATAAAAGAGAATACTGACCACTGTTTTGTTTTGTCAAACTAGAGAGGCCGGTTTTATCCAGTCTAACTTCACATTAGTGGCTGAAACATGATTCATGTTACATTCAATCCAGCACTACTTCCTCTCAGCGTACGTATTGTACAGCTGTCACTAGCTCGTCGGAGACTCGCCTTTCTAGGATAGTTCGGCTTCGCCTTTGGATTCAAAGAGCAGTCAGAGGATGGCCGTGAGGAATAGCAGGGTCAGAAACAAACAACTGAATCCTCATGTTGTTTTTAATGTTGTGAATTTTATCTTTGTCTGGGAGAAAAACAGCATCTTTTTATCCAAATCTAACTTCCAGTCTAACTGAAGTTTTTTAGCAGTGAATGTAATTAGCGCCATTCACTCCACTCACGCTCAGTCATTACGTGAACTTCTCGCATTACCAGAAATGACCATCTTTGAAAAAGTCCAATTTTTAGCTCTGCCAGATACGGAGGAATAATTTAAATCTTCTCGACTGCGCCCTCTCTTGATTCCTCAGTATTTTATGCGAAACCTCTCTTTTAAGATAAAGTTTCATCATCTACACTGATTCTCCCCTCAGTTTTTAAGTCTGAATACTATCACTTGTCACACATTCCTGTGTTCAGACATTATCAGGCTGCATTGTGGGCAGAACAAAATGAGCAGTGGCTGCGAGGGAGAGTGCTGCAGACACAAAGGTATCTTTGTTTTAAATGCTGCCATGCATCTCCAAAAAGGTTAACAAGTCTGCATTGTCATTCTGGATTTGTTGCAGTCTCTCTGCACAGGACAGAGGCACCAAATCCAATTTATCGAAGGTGGTTTCACAAAGTAAGTGTCACAATTGCTCCCACGAAATGGAAAACCACACAGCGAAGACATAGAAGCATCAAATTTTTGAATCATCATATGTGAAACTTACATTTAGTTGAGATTTTAACAACAGCACAGTGCATAAAAAGTATAGCCTTGCTTTTTCTGCCCTCTGTTGGACACTGCACATGCATGTTTAGAGTATCTCCCCCCCCCCCCCCCC